ACCCTCGCCAGCCCCCAGCAAGCACACCTCCCCTTTCAGCCTGTGCTACTCCTAAGTGGGAATGGTCTAGCTCGGACAGGACTTCTGACTGGCCCCTGTCAGTGCAACTATAAGCAGGCCTGGTCCTGGAAAACCTTCAAAGGCACAGGAGGCTACCCCGCTGGAGACGTGGTCGGTGTTCTTAGAGGAAAATGGCTGCCACTGGCCACCAACTCTGACTTCCGGAAGAGCAGAGGGGTCCTAGGACTTGGGAACTGGCAGGCTTCCTAACAGGGAGAGCCCCACCTACAGAGCTGCGACCTTCCCTTTGGTTTTAGAAACAGAGATCTGAGGTAGGTAGAGGCAAGCCACATACAGAATGGCTCCCGCAAGCCAGACTTGCTCCGAGGCCCCCAACTTGTCCAAGCCTATGTCACCCCCCACACCTAGCACTGCTGGCCCTGGCCAGGTCATCCCACCCTGCTGCAATCGGGACGGTTTGCAAAACGCCTGCTCGCTCCCGCTTTGTCACCATCTGAGGTTAGGGCTGCGCTTGGGAGATAAGCCCAGGCCCCACCCGCCGTCCAGAGAGAGCCGGCTGGCCTGCTGCAATCGGGACGGTTTGCAAAACCCCGGCTGGCTCCCGCTCTGTCACCATCTGAGGTTAGGGCTGCGCCCCAAGATAAAGTCTAGCCCCGCCTACGGGCTGGGCCTCCAAACCTCTCAAGCAGCAGGGCCAAGGGACAAGAGCTCCTGGGAAGCCACTCAGGGTCTGGAAGCCTCACTCAGGCCCAGCACAGAGATGCCTCTACCTGGTCTTCCCCTCCCTGCTTTTCCCCTCCATCCCTAACCTCACCTCTGCACACCACCCATCCTCATTACCATCCTGTCCCCACACTGCCCATCTCCTCTCCTCACCTTCTACCTTACATCCCCACCTGCCCTCCCCACTCACATCCCTCCTGTCTCCTCACCATGCCCATACATGTATTCATTTGCTCAAAAAATAATTATAGGGGTGCCTGTGTGGCTCAGTTGATTAAGCGACTGCCTTCAGCTCAGGCCATGATCCTGGAGTCCTGGGATTGAGCCCCGCATTGGGCTCCTTGCTCAGTGAGAAGTCTGCTTCTCCCTTCAACCCTCCCCACCTCCTTCCTGCTCTCTCTCTCTCAAATAAATAAATAATCTTAAAAAAAAAAAAAACTTATAACACCTACTTCAGGCTGGACACTTTGCTTGTTATAGAAGCTACAGGATAAAGGAGGAGAGCAGTTCCTGCCCCAGTTACAGATCCATGAAGGGGATAGACACACACAACACCTCAAATAAATTGATTATTCTAAATGGGCAGGGGTATGTGGCAAAAGCGAAGGGTGACTGGGATGGATGTTAACAAGGGCACCTGACTGAAAGGTGAAGGTCAGGCAAGGCTTCTTTGAGGAAGTAACACACAGACATCTGCAAGGTGAGGAGTCAGAAAGGCAAAGGGCAGGGGTTCCCAGCAGACAGAGAAATGCATGCCAAGGCCCCAGGCAGGCCCTTCCTGGTCACTGATGGACTGGGGAAGAGACCGAGTCAGAGAGGGGCTGAAGCCACATCTCCCTCTGAAGGAATCCAGAGCATGGGAGGGATGAACCACCTCCCAAAGGATGAGGATATTTCCTGTCCTCTGAGGAGAAAGAAGGGACAGCAGCAGCGATAGGCGGCGCCTTCGCCTGTTCTGTCCAGTGGCTCTGTCTTTACCAGGACAGAGGAGCTCAGTGCTAGGGACCGAGCAGAGGCTCAGAGGAGGAAGACCCCAGGTGCTGTGAGGGAAGAGGACTGAGATCTCTGACTTGAGGATGCCCCGCTGAAGTCAATGATGCCAATGGCATGACCGCAGGCTGTCCTCTGGGGTGATTGCCCTCAGTGGTCCTTAGCTGCTGGGGGCCAGTATAGAGAAGACAAACGTTCCAGGGCAGAAGGCACAGGACAGACAGTGAAGGAAATCCCTTTCAAAGGAGGGATTTGGTGATGAGACTGGAGGTGAAGATGAAAAGACAGGAAGGGCCAGCGGTTCTTCCATGAGCCCCTAGAAGAGCGGCAGTAAGCCCACTTGAGCAAACCAACGGTAAGGAAAGGAGATCATATCAGAACGGGTGATGTTTGATTCAGTTATTTCATAGGTGCTACAGTTTCTGGTGATGATAAGGCTCCCAGGAGTGGCTTGCTGAAGTGGAACAGAGAATGCTGGAGATGGGCCAGCGAAGGAACTGAGAGGTCAGTATGCCAGATGGAACATCCACACGGACCATGAAGTCACCGAGACATGCTCTGCTCATCCCCATCCTCTCCCACTCCCTCTCCTCATCCTAGCTGGCCTCTACCTCCTCCCCTTTCTCCTTAACGCCTTCCCTCCCTGTCCCTGATTTCCTCCTCTCACCTTGTCCCTTCCTGTCCTCTTCATCTTCTGCTCTGTGGTCTGCCCCACCCTCTGCCACAAGCATCCTCTCCTTACCCTTCTTCCCTCCTGTCTCCACCCATTCTCCCCGCTCCCCCTCTTTCTCAAGCTGCTTCTCTGATCAATCAATCTTACTTTTAGTCTCCACGCTGTGCACTTGAGAAAATGATAGCATGGTGGCTTAAGCCCCACATTCACCACTGACCCACACTGCCTAATTTTGCTGTGCCTCGGTTGTAAAATTGGGGTAATTATAATCATTCCTACCCTGGAAGGTTGCCAAAAAGAATACATGATTCTAAAGCACTTGCAAGACATCTGGGCACAAAGGGTGTGCTCAAATAACTGTTATTCTCACCCTCTCTCCTTACCTCCTCTTTATTCCCAGCCACCTTCCCACCTCCGTTATCCCTCTGTGCCTACTTAACACCTCTTCAAAGAGGCACAGGCGAATCAGACTCAGCCCCTGCCCACAGTCTAGCAGGCGAATAAGCACAAAAATAAAAGTCAGGAGAATGTAATAGCGCTACTTGAAAGATGTGTGAGACCTGGTATTGGAGGACAGGGACGAGGCAAACCACCTTTCCCCCGCCGGGGGGCGGGGGTGGGTAAAGAAAAAAAAACTCAGCAGGTGGAGACCCTCTCAGCTGGCTCTGGAAAGACTAGGACGAATTTGCCTGGCAGAAGCAGGAAAGAGGTATTGCAGCAGAAGAAGCGCAAGGTGCTTCTGGTGCCGTTGCCTGGAAGGTAGAAGTTCTGCAGGCATGTGTGAAGTTCAGCTGAACTCCCGCCCTGGCCGGGGAGCACCCTCCTCGATGCAGCCACAAGGGGGCAGCAAAGTACTAGGAGTGACAGCAGCAGGGTGGGGGCTGTGTGGGGATACCTGAGGAGAGCCCCACAGACCTTGACCCCCTTGGGCAAATCTGCCCGCCTAGCCAGGAAAAGGAGGGCATGTGATACGTGGAGGAAAAGGTTTGCCTTAGAAAAAGAACAGGAACCCTGTAAAGATTGATGCACATGTCAAGAAGAACAGAGCCATTCTCCACTGAGTTGAAAGTGTAGAATATGAACCGCTGATGTGACTTGGTATTGAACATGAGCTGGAGGCTGTTCTCAGCACCCCCTTTTTTTTTTTTAAGTAGGTTCCATGCCCAGCGTGAAGCCCCATGTGGGACTTGAACTCATGACCCTGACACTTAACCTACTCAGCCACCCAGATGCCCCTGAAGAAGTCTTTGCTTCCTCCTCAAAGCAACCTTGCCAAGGACATGCAGTCATCCCCCTTTTGCAAATGGAAGCCTGGAGGCATTGGGCCAAAGTCACCTAGGTGGAAAGCGACAGAGTTGGTTTGGCTCCAGCATCTGGCTGCCTCTCTTGTAACTGGTCGCTCCAGCCACAGGTTTGGTAATGTCCAAGTATAAAATCGAGCCTCCCTGGCAAGTCAGCAGCTTTTCTGTAAACTCTTGTCCTGTCTGTAACTAATTAGCTGTGTTGCTTTACGTCACTTCACCCCTAACCCGTTTCTTCAAAAGTTAAGCAATGGGGTTAGGTTCTGTTCCTTCATCCACAAACTGACGACTAGGCCCTGGGGACAGTGCTGAGCGCTGCAGCTACCAAGCCAGCTGGGAAGCAGGCTTACCTGGAAGGAGTGAGGGACCGGAAGGAAGGGAGAGCCGCTAAGCCAGCGATCATTGCAAGAGAGAGGAGGAGATGCCCCTCCTGTGAAGTGGGCTCCCTTCCCCCTCCAAGTGCGGAATTTGGGCAGAAGGTGTTAAGCACAAAAGGCTTCCCAGCATAATTATAGGGAAGGTAGAAATTGGCCAGGTGGGCAGGGAAGGAGGAGTGTATCCAGACAGAGGAAACAGGATGTGAAAACACAGCATGAACAGAGAAAACAGGGAGTTCCAAGAGCTGGGTGAGAACATCCTTGAGCACATTCTATTAATGTCCATTTTAAGAGGTGACTTTCCCTTCCAGCATGCCCATATGTGGCTCTGTGAAGCCTCACGGAGCTAACACAACAGCTTTTCCTAGGAAGGGTCAGTCAGCCAAAGTGTATTTCCTGAGCACCTACTAAGTGCCCTGCATAGATGGAAGAGGTGCCTGAAAGCCTCGCAGTTTAGTTAGAGTCCACCCAGCTCTGAGAGCAGGGCCAGGGATGTGCAGAAGCCTCGTTTGCCCATCTCCAATAAGATAAGTAGGCATCTATGAAGCACAGAGTGTCCCCATGAACACTGTTACATTAACACTGATTTTGTAGTTCTGGGATGGTTCCAAGGTTATCTACTCAGAAGAAGGGCAACTAGGATGAGAGATTCCTGAATGAGGCAGGCTCCTCCCTGGAAAGATCAGCTGAGGCCTTAAGTAATAACACTGCCTCCCCCTCCTACCCCACCCCCACCCCGCCATCAAACACACACACACACACACTCTGCTCCCCACCTCTAGCACCCCCTGGGGGTGGCAGCTTTGGCCCTTGTTCACATCCAACCTCCTGCTGGGAACTGCGGATGTGGATTTCGTCAACAACACACTCAAATCTTGAAAAGCTAAGTGAGAGAGGTGCAGAGGGGTATGGAGAGAGATAGTAGAGAAGGGGAAGCGGGAAGTCAGTGAGGCAGGGAAGAGAGGAGCAGAAGACAGGATCCTGGCCAGGTAAAGAAGAAACACTTGCAAAATGTTCCTGCTGCTGCTGGTGGTGGGGACGGCTGTGAGCAGATGCCTACATGATGAGACACAGAAGTCTGTGACCCTTCTCAGGCCCCATCTCTCCCAACCTGCACCCAGCTTCCGCTTTTCCGCCCTCACCCTGTCTGGCTCCCATGAGCCTCAGCCCCTACGAATACGAACCTACTCTATCAGAGACCCTGTATCAGATGGAGCTTGGGAGCCGGAGGGAGCAGGAATGAGAGGGGGACCACGAGCCCTGGCCCTGGCCGCAGCCAGACAGGCTGCTCAGCAACTCCAGGGGATGCTCACAGGTGAGCGGGGAGGCAACAGGAGGGCTGAGGAGCAGAGGGCCAGGCAGGAAGACAACCAGAGAAAAGGAACTCTAAGATGTTGAGGTGAAACTGACCACTCATCTTTTTAAGTCCTTCCAGTGCAAGGCCCTCTGCTTCTGAGTCGAGACCCCGCACAGTACTGCCACGCTGTCTGGGGGGATCCAGACGCTCCAAACTACCACAGGTGAGTTCGTGTTGTCGAGAATGTATATACGACCTCTTCAGGGTACCCAAAGATGGCTCCAGCTCACCTACAGATACTCACGCTTGGCAGGTGCAGCCTCTTGAACCCAGGGTACAAAGGAGAGAGTTGCCTGGGGGCAAAGGTGAGAGCAATTTCTCAGATTTGGGAATCCGAAGATCTCTAGCCTGCCTAGACTTCTCCAAGACTATTAACATCAAAATTACTTGATGTGCTTCCTAACAAAAGTAACTTCCTGAGCCCCTTCTCCCCCTGGCAGTTTATCAAATCAGAGACCTGGGGGTGGGAGGGATGGCAGGAGTCCCTATTCTGATAAAGACTCACTCCCAGTTTCTTGCTGTCCTCATCTGCTAAGCTAGATGCAACATTTCACTTCTGGACAGATCCCAGATGCCCATCTCCGTGGTTACACATTGTGGCCCGAGCACGGTCCCCCACAACTGGTCCAGCCAGATGGACCCGGGATCCAAGACACAGATTTTCTCCTGTATGTGTGGGTGGCCCACACTTCCAAGTGCCGTGGAGAGGTGAGACCCAAATCAAATCCTTTTCCTTGTTCTGCTTCTCTTAATTTTAAATATCATGGGAAGGGGAAGAGAGCACAAAGGCAGTTTTTATTAACTTGTGATTATTTGAGGTGACTCAGTCATGTTGATGAAGTTTGGGTGGGAGCTAAGCCCCTTCAAAGCCATCCCCTGGAGCTATCCCTGCTGAGTTCCCTGGGTGTCCATTTTCAGGAAGAGTGCTTCTGTGTTCCCCCACTTCCCTGCCTTCCACCTCTGACCTTGTCCTGGCCCATCCACAGCCCTCTGTCATAGCCTACGCTGCCTGCTGCCAGCTGGACTCGGAAGACAGACCCCTTGCTGGTACCATCATCTACTGTGCCCAGCATCTCTCCAGCCCCAGCCTCAGCCATAGTGACATTGTCATGGTGACTGCTGCATGATAAGTAGGAAGGCGCAAACAGGTTGGGGAGAGGGGCAGGTCATTCAGCTTCCCATGGAATGAAAGAATCTATTAAGGATGGAGGAGAAGGTGCCTCAACTCTAGGAAGAGCTGACTGGGCAGAGGAACTATCCAGTGGCAGGTCAACCTGCTCCGTCCCCGGTCTCCCTCATCCTGCGGTAATTTGTCCTCAGGTCACACTCCATGAATTGCTCCATGCTCTGGGTTTCTCAGGACAGCTCTTCAAGAAGTGGCGGGATTGTCCCTCAGGACCCAGTGGTAAATGGGAGGAATGAGGGCAAGCTTTCCCACGGTGTCCACAAGAGGGGATCACTAGCCCCCCACCAATGCCTTCCTTCCAGTTCTGCTCCCCTCTTCCTAAGCGTTCCTCACCTCATATTGCCTTCTTCCCGTTCTGTGCTCAGTTAGAGAGAACTGTTCTACAAGGCAACAAGTGACAAGGAGAGATGAGTGGGGACAACTGCTTCTTACCACCCCAGCTGTTAGCCACAGCCTGGCCAGACACTTGGGAGTGCCAGGGGCTTCACCGGGGGTTCCCTTGGAAGAAGAGGTGGGAACAGGATGCCCAGTGGTGCTGGAAGGAGGAGGGAGTGGTCAGGTGGCAACCAGCTCCCTCCTCCCTAGGGCACTCTGTCTTCACACTGGGAGGCCCGACTACTCCAGGGTTCTATCATGACTGCTACCTTTGATGGTGCCCGGCGCACTCGACTGGATCCCATCACTCTTGCCGCCTTCGAAGACTCCGGCTGGTACCGAGTCAATCACAGCGCAGCAGAGGAGCTGCCGTGGGGCCAGGGTGAGAACAGGGGAGACTGGCAGAGGACAGTGGGGGCAGTGAGAGTTTGGGTGGGGATTTTCTGCCGCTAAGGTGTCACTGAAGCCGTGAGCACAGCTCGAGCTGAGGGACACTTGGGGCTTCTTTTGTTTGGAGGGCTCTTTCTCTTCCTATCTCTCCAGCAGGATCTGGCCTGGAATTTGGCCTGGTGACTACATGTGGGGCTGGCTCCTCAGACTTCTTCTGCACTGGCAGGTAGGTGTGCTGTGTGGTTGGGGGTGATACGGCTGTCGGGGATCCTAGTGGTCAGCTGCCCTCCCTTCCACGCAGTGGGCTGGGCTGCCACTATCTGCATCTGGATAAGGGAAGCTGCTCCTCAGACCCCATGCTGGAAGGCTGCCGCATGTACAAGCCCTTGGCCAATGGGGTGAGATGACTAGAGAATAGAACGGAAAGGAATGGAGCTGGCCCAGAGCGGAGTCAGTTTCTAAGGCATTTCAGCAAACACTTTTCTGCCTCCTGCCCCGCCCCTCAGAGTGAATGCTGGAAGAAGGAAAACGGGTTCCCACCCGGGGCAGAGAACCCCCACGGGGAAATTTACCATTCCCAGAGTCGTTGCTTCCTCGCCAACCTCACTTCACACCTGCTCCGTGAGGATGAGACCAGGCATCCGTCTGAGATCCCACATCCGGTGGAAGCAGAGCTTACGGGCCGCTGCTACTTACACCAATGCACAGAGAGAGGAGCGTATGAGGTGCGGGCCGAGGGGACAGCCTGGGTCCCATGCCTTCCCGGAAAGGCTATTCAGGTGGGTATCATAAGCAAAAAGCCACATAGTGCATTGGCAAAAGGAAGTCTAAAAGTGCTCATATAGCAGTAATATCCAACCTCTTCCGATGTTCTTTCATTTTTCACTAAGTGCCCACTGAGTCCATGACCCTGATCTAGATTGTACTTTTTCCTTAGAAGGGGGGCTTGAGCAGGCAATTGAGGTCCTAAATACATCTTGCTATGTATTTCTTTGCAGATACCTGGGTACTCTGGTCTTCTCCTCTGTCCCCGGGGTCGGCTTTGTCAAACTTTCAAAGGTACCAATGCTGTTACTTCCCCACCTGTGAGTCTTCCGCCTCAAGCCCTGTTATTCCAGCTGTCTTTACAATTAGCTGGGCCCCCAGGCCCCTCGGTGGGGAAGGAAGAGCTGGACGGGCTGACCGAAGCAGTACTCCAGGCTCTGGTGAGCAGAGGCGGCACCGGCAGGTAAAGGGACAGTTCAGGCTGAGGATTTATACAGTGGGCCACAGGAACGGCTTAAGTGGGTTACTTCACAACACTCCTCTGAAGACTTTATCCCACTCCTAAGCCTGCACCTGCTTCAGGAGATATACTCTTCCAGGGATTCCTCCTCCTTTAAGAGATCCAAATGTCCCTATAGGTGCTATTTCCACAGCCCCTCCATTACCACCAGTCTGGTGTTCACTGTGTACATGGGCAAGTCCCCTGGCTGCCAAGGGCCTTCGGTTGGTATGCTGCACAGGGACCTGACCCTGACTCTCCAGCAGAAGCCCCTAGAAGTACATTATGGAGGAGCCAGCTTTACCACGGGACACATCAAGTAAGAGAATATCCTAAGTAGTTTTCTTTCAAATTTCTGGAGTCCAGATGTTGGAAATTGCATTAAGCTCTCACTCATATGTAGTCTTAGGGTTATTTCGGAAGACAACTAATGTGATCACCTCAGGTCTGTCACTATGGGACACCTTTCCCTCCACAATCATGGACTTCTCCATCTCTAGGACATAGGGATCCTAGTCCTCTTCCTCCCTTAAGTACTAATGGGGCACATGTCCAGTCACCCAAACACCATAGTCTAACTCTTCCCTTAAACTTCCCCTCACTGCCAAGTTAGGTCTCCTTCCAACAACTCAAGTTGCTGGGAGGCTCAGACTTTGGTCTTTTTCCTACTTTCAGGTTCTATATTCCTGACTTCCTGTGTAGCTTACTGATTGGAAGAGGCAGGGTTTCATGAGCTCTGCGTATTAGGATAAAGGTGAAGTACTCCACCTGTAAGCCTAGGCATTATTCCAAGCCAAACGTTACTTCTGTGTTCCTAGGTTGCTGGTTACCTTGGACCATAAACCCTCTGTGACCCATCTAGCACTGTCCACAGGACTCTGCCTAACACTGCTTATCCTGATGGGGGCACTGGGAACCGTGGCCTATCAGAAACGAGCTACTCTTCTGGTGGCACCATCTGGCCCTCACTGTTCACCAGAGCTCCAAGACACAAGGGGCCCAGTTACAGGAATGAGGGAGGTGTGATGTTACCCAGAGAATAACAGGATAGATATGGAAGATTATTTCTTGGAAGACAACTGGATGGCAAGTCTACACTTCAGTTCTGCTTTTCTCAAAATGCCTCTTTCTTCAGGTATCACCTCTATACTAGCCTTGTAATGAAAAAAAAAAAAAAGCGAGAGACATGGTTCTGAAGATCCATTCTTTATTCTGATACAAAAAATAAACCCTTCAACCTATGAAGAGTGTCACTTGTTTTTGTTTCACAAGCAAACTTACAGAATAGGAATCTGTTACCAGCTCCAAGAATATCACATATGCGTTAGGAAAAGTCATTGCTATTTAGATTCAAATAAACATCAGTGTGAGAAAGGAGTAACGAATTATCTCCCTTTCCTGATTTCTCCATAATCTTACAAAATTATCACTAGGAAAGCTAATAGTTGGGATGTCAACATAATTATGCCAGAATCTGATAAGGGCAATGAAACCAGCCATGTGAATCCAGTTAATCTACAAAAACATGACCTTTTTTTAATAGTCCTTCTCTCTGTTTCTGGAATAGGAAGGCTCTACTTTATAGCCCCATGGGCCAGCAATACACTTGAGTTACAATGTGTAGGTTCCTTCTGGTTATACTTGCAAAATAAGCCATGGAATTCTTGAGGGTGTGACATGTAGAAAGGAACAAGCTAGGCGGCAGACTGCTGATCTGGATTGACTTAGATGGAAAACATTCATATGAGCAGTCCAGCTGATAGGCTGTTAACGTTGAATAAGCAAGCCTTGGGGCGCCTGGGTGGCTCAGTCAGTTAAGCGTCCAACTCTTGATTTGGGCTCAGGTCATGATCTCAGGGCTGTGAGATCGAGTCTCATGTTGGGCTCAGTGCTGAGCCTGGAGCCTGCTTAAGATTCTCTCTCTCCCTCTCCCTCTGCCCCTTCATCCCCCAAAGAAATAATCAAGCCTGTACTGGTCAACAAGTTCAGTCAGCGGATCAGGATACCATTCCTAGGCCTTTAAGTAACACATCTGAAGATCTCACGGTGAAGTTGCAGCTCCATCAGCTCGGAGTATCTTCTTTGACTTTAATGCCCATCAGTCCTTACCAGCCGTAGCAGCCACTGCCTGGTAAAACTTTGCCACGAAGTCTGGCTCACTGACCTCTAGCTGCCTGACAAATTCATTGCGCTCCTGCTCAGCCCAACCTCGAAACCACTGATCCCAAAGTCGTAGCTGGCACTCAAAGATACAAGGTGGTCGGTTTGCTCCAGACACACTAAGCTGCTCCAGCCCTTCTAGCAGTGGCTGTAATTTTCCTGGCACTGCCTTAGCTACCAGGTCCTGTAGGAAACGTTCACGCTGTGGACCTGACCAACTGGCAAACCAGTGAAGAATACACTTCATCTCCTGGGAAGTGATGTAAGACATTGGGGGAGGGGAAGAGTTAGTAATACTATCCGGTACTGGAGGTAGGGGAGAAGGAAGGGATAGTGGTATTGAAGAGGAAGATGATTCCAGTGGCATCCTGAAACATAAAAACACTGTTATATACTCTGTAGAGTAACCAAAATACAACTTCCCAACAAGGAATCTTATCAAAAACAGCATCTACAGATAAAAATACTTTTCAACAATTCAGCTTACAGGAAAACAAAAGGATAATTCATATAGGTTATTATCCGACTACCTCAGAGAAGTCACTCAAGAATAACTTCATTTCATACTTGCCAACCTCCCTCTTTTTCAGACCCATCACCCTCCCCGACCCCTTCTTCTCTTCATTATTCTTATAAGAAACCTAAAAATAACCAACATATTTCTTGCTCATTCTCCCTGGCCTACTTCTGTGTTCCAGGGTGAGTGAAGAAAAAACGATTAATGTTGGTGCATCTCACATTCCTTAAGAAGAAAAAAGGTACACATTTTAAAATCTAGCACATGCAGATGGTCTGGGCATAGATGCTAATCATCCAGAGCTATCAACGGTGAGAAAAGGGAAAAAAAAAAAATCACATATGATGAAAGAGCTTCTTTGTAATGTGCATATAGCCTCTGAATTATGCCCAGAACTTCCTAACATCCATTTCTTCCTTATATTTCCAGTAAAGCACCACGAAAAATTAAGAGCAGAGTGAGGGTGCCTCACCCAAAAGAAGATAACACAGTAAGAAAAAACAGAAGCCACATGTTTATTTAAGACTGAAAAAAGTCTAGTCGGTTTGGTGACTTAGGAGTCTAATAAGTGTTACACTGCTGTAGATGTGTAACAACTGATGTCTTTGCACATTTTCAAGGTTTAATGCAAAATACCCAGTGATGCCCTGCCACTGATTTGCATCAGTAATGCAAACAGAAGGTCAGTTAACTTGAATAGGTTTCGAGTTCCACAGTCTGAATTTCTAACAATGAAAACCTTAAACTACTTATCAATACAATAATCTATTCTGCCTGGGTTCCCTCTGCTGAAAGTTGGGAGTATTTGTAGTAACAAAGAAAAGAACCCCTAAGCAATCAACATCAGTCCAGTACCCAAACAGTCCAAGGAGATTGCCTTTTTCACAGCAATTCTTCCTAAGGAATTTTATTCTTACTCGAGTAAGAAAAAACTTTCGTCGGGTCTTGCGACATGGCCTCCACAGCAAACTCAAGTTCAAAGAATATGAATCAGTTCGCAGTTTGGGCCCAAAGACACGGTGCCGCCACTTGCCCACTTTGGAGGCCACGGAGCCTGGCATTCCAAGGACCCAAAGAGCAAAGTAGTCTTAGATGGGAGTGACGGGGACTCAGCGATTGGGAGGCGGCAGGGGGATCGGTAGCAGAGCAGGCAGTGCGCCCTACTAGCATAACCCGCAAACACCGAGTCTGACCCAGCCTAGACAGAGACTTCTACCCCGCTTACCTCCCCTTTCCTCTCACAGGGCACCCGAAGACCGTCACAAAAGTGCTTAAACTCCAACTGTCGCCCCTGCTTCCATGTTTCCTGAAAACCCTAAACAGGGCCAGCCCGGCAGCCCACGCACTTCCGGTCCCGGACCAGCCCCAAACACCCAAGCTCCTCAGCGTCTCAGCCTTAGGTTCGGAGGTGGCCGAGTAACTCCGATTTTGGTTATGCCACAGTCGACGGCTTCCGAGTACATTCGATTCACAGCCTCGGTAAGACGAAAATAACCGAGCTCTGAAAGCAGAGGGAGGGAGGGGGGAAGTGGCTGGGAGGAGGGAAAGAACTGATTGGTGCCGATGTAGAGACGGAAATACCCGAGCAGTTCCGGAGGAACCCGGGGAGTTCTGAGTGGTAATCGAGGGGTTGACTATGGCAGTGGGCGGGGTCAGCTCGGTACGTTCGAAGGGCGTTGGCGGAAATTACCGAAGATGCCCGAAGCCGTCGGGACGGACCCGAGTACCTCACGCAAGATGGCGGAGCTGGAGGAGGTGACTCTGGACGGGAAGCCTCTTCAGGCGCTGCGGGTGACCGACCTGAAGGCCGCACTGGAGCAGCGAGGCCTAGCGAAGAGCGGGCAGAAGAGTGCCCTGGTCAAGCGGCTCAAAGGGGTGAGAAGTCGGCGTTGCCGGGGTGTCGGAGGGGAGCGGACCCGGTAGAGACGAGTCTCTGCCGCGGCGCAGGCGCAGTGTCCGGGCTCCGCGCGAGCGAGCTCAGGCCGCCAGCGCGAGCCTCCGGATCCGCGCGCACGGTGGTTGGTGAGGCTCGCGCTGGAATAGAGATAGCGCCGGTTCCCGCCTTAACGGCAGCGGCGCGAGCCCAAAATGGGAGGGTGCGCGCTACTCTCCCGGAGTGTCTTAAGCTCCTTCCTCCTTCCCCCACCCCCTCCTTGTTTGTGTCTGTGGTTTCGGCGCATGCGCTGCAGAAGGAGTTAAATCCCACTACTATCACCGGCGTTGCTGGCCTGAGGGGGGCGAATTGGGCTGGGTCGGAGTTAGGGGTATAGTTGGACGGAGGAGTTAATGGGGTTGGTGTCGGTGTTGGTGTCCGGAAGAATAGGATTGGGATAGAGTGAAATGTCTACCTGATTAGATTAGTAGGTGAGATGAAGAGAAACCTTAATTTGAAGGAACTCGGTTATAGAGGGGTATATAATTTATAGGGCATCCAGAAGCAATTTGGGCGGATAAGAGTTTGGTGAATATTGGTGAGAGAGGTGGGGCAGGTTGGTATATGTTGGGGGTTTTGAATCGATTTGAGTAGTTTAGGGTGGGATCGTCATGAAGTAGGTGGATTTGTGTGTATAGATTTGGTGTAAACGGAGGAAAGATGAAAATGTCTTGGTTTTAATTGGGGTTAATTAGGATACATGGCCTGTAGTGCAGATTAGGGCTGGGTTGGCTCAAGGGTTAAATTGACAGACCGTTGACTCTACAGAAGCTGACGGTTTTGTGTGTGGATTGGGTCAGCCATAGTTTAGAGTCTGTGGTGGTTTTGTTCTGTAGCCTCCTTTTTGAAATTTTTATATAGTTGATAAATCTAGGTGCCACTCTGTTGGAAGCAATACAGGTTAATTCAAGTAGATCTAGTCCTGGGTAACTGACCAAGTAACTCAATCAGACCACAACCAGCAGCCCCATGTTGGTTTCCTGTATTTGAAGCTGACTTGAGTATTTGAAGTCATTTTATCTGAATGGCCAGATTTAGAAGGGGCATTAGTAAGAAGTGCAGAAGATAATAGGGAGTGTAGTACGGGTTCTATCATTGTCACTGATTTTATTACATAGCCAAATCAATGATTTTCTCCATGTGCCTGCATTTTACATTTGTACTTTTGGGAACAGTACCCATGGCTACTTTTAAGGGTCTTCTGAAGATGAAAGAGAACTGGTAAAGGGCTTTTAGGTCCCTGGAAAAGGAGCACAGGTTAAGTGTGTATGGTTAGCCATTGCATTCAGTGAAGAGATTGGGGAGGGCTGGGGTTTATTCCCTTAGATTCTGACTTTTGCCCTTCTCTGTACCAGGCTCTAATGCTAGAAAATTTACAGAAACACTCAACACCCCATGCTGCATTCCAGCCAAATTCCCAGGTAAGAAAAAAGGTTTATTAGATAAGGTGGGCTTTTTGGATGCACAGACATATAGAAGGACATAAAGATGTATATACTTGGTGCTTACATCCACACCAGTATTTTCCTAAGTTCATGGGTTGAAAATTTCCTCATACCAGGACAGCTGAATTCTAATAAAGAATTCAAGAATCGAATTAGGAAAGCTATTAATTAATTTCTGATGCTTGCAGTGGTATGTGCAGAAAGGTGTGGCTCCAACTGATTAAGTATAGTACAAGAATCTGAAGTCATTTATTTGCCATTGATTTGGGAAAAATAGTTGATGTCTTCTAATGTAGAAATGAAGTAGACAGTCAGTAGGGCAGTGGAAGAAAATACTTGTAAGAAGAATTCTTGTGTTGACATAGATTTTCGAAGAATTCAGTCTTTTGGAAATTAAACACCATCTCTAGTGTTAATGCTGACTATGCTTTTCCTCCTAAATATCATTAATTCCTCTGTTACTTAGGGCAAGAAACTTAACCTTTAGAGGCCCTGGATTCCTAAGTTCCTATGTACAATATGAGAAAAGTTTGGACTAAATCCATGGTTTTATAATTACTTGACTTTGGTTTTGTAGAGCTGCTTTTGGGGGCTTCCTGGGGAAGATAACCTTCTTCCCAAGTGAGCAGGGGTTCACACTCCCCTCTTAACTAAATTAGATCTACTTTTATCTGTTTTTATATATTGAGTTTCAGCATAAGATTTCTTTAGAAGAAGTCATTCCACAGTTTAAAAAAATAAGATTTTTAGACATTTTGATCTCATTAGATTTTTTTCAGCTCTTAAAATCCCCTCATTATAGTATGTTACATATATAAAGGAAAACATCCAGGTCTTCGTTAGTGCAGTGTTGTGCAGCTTGGGTACTAGATGAAGTCCCAAGATACTGTGGAAAAACAAGAGAGCCTTCCTGTTCCCTGGTTACCACTTCATTAAGCTATATCATAGTCTAGTTGGTTTACAGATGTTTAGTTAAGTATAAGCTTAAGAAACTACGTAAGTTAATCGGTTTGTGATTATATCCCTTTTATTCATTGCATTTTAGTCTTTGAAGCTTTGCTTTCATTAACCTAGGATTTTTTCTAGCAAATGCATGTGCTCTTTAATACATGGAACTCACACTTCATCAGTGTCCACTGAATACCAAGAGGAGACTCATCTCTATTTTAGGTGAAGATAAGCATTTACCATGCTTAGGAAAGATAATTAAAACCATAAATAGTATTTACTCAGATTTTTTCCCTTTTTTTTAGAGTTCTAGTAGGACTTGCTAGGCAAGAAGGTTCTGGGAGGAGGGCTTGCAAAGAGAAAACTGAAGGATGGAAGAGTGCTGTGGGAGTCTGCGTTGCAGGAAGAAATGGGAAAAGAGATTAAACTCTTGGAGTTTAAGTATAATATTATCATTTCTTCCCACCCAAAGAAAACGGAGTTAAAACTCTGTCTAAATGTTGAACAGACATCCCTTTTCTTAATCTTTCGGTTTCATACTCTAAGTACTGTATTTGAATTTTGGAGATATTTGACAAAATGATTCCTGGAAAGGAACAACAAAAAAATGACCTAGTATGAACTAGTATTTTTTCAGTTCTTGTTACTACGGGAAGGAAAATTTAGATAATATTTTAGATTAAAAGGCATAATTTTATGGGAATTTTTATTTTAAGTTACTTGGGCATTGCTGGTTGGGATCAGAATATTTAGAATAAGAAATTATGTGCAGTTCCTCTTTTTGTCGTCTTTTATGAATCATGAGATTCTTTATTTTGGTCCTCAACAAAAGTAGCTTAGAAGAGGACCTTCCAACATTTTTATTATCTTTCTTGGGCTCAAATATAAGGAGGAAGCCTTTGTTCCAAGGAATTTTCTTTCTTCCATTTCCCTGGTTTGCTTTCCTCAACTTTTCTTTTTTCCATGTCTTCTACACAGATTGGTGAGGAAATGAGCCAGAACAGTTTCATAAAGCAGTATCTGGAAAAGCAGCAGGAGCTACTTAGGCAGCGTCTGGAACGTGAAGCCCGAGAAGCTGCAGAACTTGAAGGTAAGCCCAGACTGTCACAAGGAGTTTTTCATTCTTACTCCTGTCACTGAGTAGATAGGCCTGTTTAAGTAGGCAATTTCAGGAATAAGGCTGAAACTGCTACTTACTTGCTTTGGTAGTTAGGCCAAGTGAGTTGTTTATTTACCTTTTGTCAGGGAAGAAAACAATTTAACTCTCTGTTAGAAGAGGATTCCTACCAGCAGGAAGAGTTCTAAGTAAATTAAGCTACCCTTTAAATGAGGTAGAGCTTAATCCCAGGGAGTTTTTCTCTATGTGCAGTGCTCTTTTTAGTATATACTTTGTGTCCCGCGACTTTGCCTGATCTCCTTCATTCCTCTACATATTCCCACATGCTTAGCCCTTCACTCCCTCCCTGCCCCGACCCAATCTGTACTTTGCAGAAGCTTCAGCTGAGTCGGAGGACGAGATGATCCATCCTGAGGGAGTGGCTTCCCTGCTGCCTCCTGACTTTCAGAGCAGCCTGGAGAGACCAGAGCTGGAGCTCAGCAGACATTCGCCCAGTACGTATCTCCCTCCCCACTGCGCTGTTTTGTCAATCCTGCGTAGTTGGTGGGGGGAGGTAGTTAGGCCTCCTTTCATGCTAAGCCTCCATTAAGAGTCCCAGGGAAATTCTGTGACATTGATACTTCATATCTGTTTGTCATGGGAATTATGTCCTTTTGGAAGTCTGCTTTCACCTCTATGTTGTGTTAACCCCTCAGAGTGTTTTTCCTGAGGCCGTATGATGTTTCTTCTCATCTGTATCTCTTCGGCATCCTCTATCTCTGCATTGAGCAGTAGTCACAACCCTTTGTCATCCCTTCACCAGTTGTATAGATGACATATTGCACATCCAGTAATCCACCCCCAAAGTGGGTATCTGCCATAGTTCATTAATACATATAACAAATTTTTGTTTAGTGCCTGTTGTATGCTAGGCACATGCTAGGCACCAGGAAAATAGTAGAGAAAATACAAGTCTTTGCCCTAAGGAAATTATAGCTTAGTGAGGAGTTAGACATTAATCAAACTATTATACAATAGTTACTGTTGTTCTGTGTGCTCTGAGAAGCAGTGCAGAGCATCATGTGAGCATATTACAAGTATCTCTAACTCGGTGTATAGAGTCAGTTTAGGCAAGATTAGTTTTTTCATATAAAAATTAAGCACTCATTTTGTATAATATTTCAAGCAAAAATCCAGAAATGCAGCGTTTATCTTCTAAACTACCTAAAATGTTATACTTTTAGGAAAACACGTATATAAGACACATGGGCAGTAGATAGATATGTTAAACCCATGTGTACATTTAAAATATTTTGAATCATTATTAATGTTAGTGGTCATATAGGAGGTGATCATTTCATATTTAATATTTTTAGGGCATGTCAAAGTTACTAACACTTCTGATTAATAGAGAATTCCTTTTTTTTTTTTTTTAAAGATTTTATTTAGTTATTTGAGAGAGCAATGAAAAGCATGAGCAGAGGGAGAAGCAGACTCCCTGCGGAGCAGAGAGCCCAGCGTGGAACTCCATCCTGGGACTCGAGATCATGACCTGAGCCGAAGGCAGACGCTTAACTGACTGAGCTACCCAGGCACCCCTAGAATTCCTTTCTGAACATAGATTTTTAGAAGATATTTAGTGATAGAAGAAAATAAGTTATTTTAGAGATCTCTTTTCTCCTTAAATCCAAAAGTAGCAGAGCCTCAATTGATCCATTTTACTCTTAGCACTCTTTTCCCTGATTGTAAAGCCAGGAGGAAGGGGAACACTCTTCTAAATTAGTGTTTCTTCTCAAATAAAAGTCAAGAAAATATTTATTAAATTTATTAAATAATTAAAATAATTTAACTAAATTAAATTATATGTATCTCCATGCTCCATATGGGGAGTTAGCACTTTGTAAAATGTTTTTAGGAGAGAAGGTAATTGCACATAAAGCCAACAACAGACGATGGTGTGTTTTAAAGTGCCATATAAATAGTGTAAACACACAGACCATAAAAATACAGAGCAAAAGTTCTCTGAGGACCTCTGTGATTAGAGACCTTCATGAAGAAGGTGTGGGATTTGAGCTGAGCCCTAGAAATAAGTAGGATTTGAATTGGTTCAGAGGAGACTCTCAAGAGAGTATTTTTAGGAAGGAATGAAAGCATAAAGCTAGGGATAAATGTGATATTTTTAAAGGAGAGGTAATAAACGAATCTAGCCAGAGTTAAGTGTTCTTTTCACATTCAAGAAAAGTCAGAGGAACAATTAAAAAGGTACATTAAGGGGGCACCTGGGCGGCTCAGTGGTTTAAAGCCTCTGCCTTTGGCTCAGGTCATGACCCCCGTATCGGGCTCTCTGCTTAGTGGGGAGCCTGCTTCCTCCTCTCTCTCTCTCTCTCTGCCTGCCTCTGTGCCTACTTGTGATCTCTGTCTGTTTGTCAAATAAATAATCTTTAAAAAAAAAAAAAAGGTACATTAGGATAATATGGGCAAGGGCTTTGAATATCAAGCCAATTAATATGAGATTTTTTTTTTCTAAAGTAATGGGGAAACCATTGAAAATTCTTGATAGGAACATGATTTGATGAGGAACTCTCTTTAAAAAAAGAGTCTCAGTTCTAAATGTAATTTAAAATGAAAATGAAAAATGGATCCTTAAATAGAAATAAGGTTTCAAAAGCTAATAAAGATTTAGAATAAAGGTTAACCAGTCTCTTCAGTGCTTTTTGTCATCAGCCGGACTTTGCCTGTGGCGGTAATTGATCAAGGCTGGGAAGAACAGGGAGAAGAAGAGGAAAGATAGAGGTGAAAAATAAATGAGAAGAGATGAATGTAGTAAATTGTAGAGTAGCTAACAGTTGCCATTTGTGCTCTTCAGTGTACTCTCTGCCGTAAACTTTCTTACCTCTGATCTTGTCTAGAATATGAATCTCGTAGACGTGGTACAGAATTTGGCCAGGGTCCTAAATGGAGTGGTAGTTGGGAGTTCTAGTGATGTTTAGTTGGATCAGTGGTAATGCCTGGAGTTTACCCAGAAAATTAGATTCTTTCAAGATGTGCAATGTTAGTCTGCCATAGGCGAATAAACTCTTGGGATGCCCACTTATTTGGATGTTTGGAGAGTTTTCTCTTTAATAAGATTTTCATTAAAGGAAGGTTTTTAGTAACAATTTGCTAATCAGTAATGGCACCTGAGGACTTTTTTTTTTTTTTTTTAATATTAAACTGTTTTTAAGAATATGGCTTCCTGGGCCCTATCCCTGTTAATCTACTCAACTGGCGAATGACTAACTAACAGAATAGTTTTTTAGTATTGTAATTAACCAGGATCTTTGGCTTATATTCCAGCAACCTCCTGTTTATGTGCTGTGGACAAAATCCCAGATAGGAAGAATTGGTGTATAACATCCTTCCTGGCTTTCCTTCTTGACTTTTCTCTCTACCACTTTCTTCAGATTTTTCTAACGTGCTGGGAGACAGTATCCACTCTCTGTAGTGAGAAGTTGTCTAGAATCACCTCTAGATCATGGTTGGGTGATCAAAATCTTTATTGCCACTAGGTAATTATTTAAGAAGAGTCCAGTCTACGAAAATTAGTAGAAAGATAGAAAACGTTTTGGGGTGCCTGGGTGGCTCAGTGAGTTAAAGCCTCTGCCATCAGCTAGGTCATGGTCCCAGGGTCCTGGGATTGAGCCCCACGTCGGGCTCTCTGCTCAGCAGGGAGTCTGCTTCCTCCTCTCTTTCTGTGGGCCTTTCTGCTTACTTGTGATCTCTGTCAAATAAATAAATAAAATCTTAACCATTTTTAAACTTTTTTTTTTTTTTATCAGTATACAGATTCTTTAACAAAGGTATAGCTCCAGGGGATCTTAACCAGCCTTTTGCTTATAGGGCATAAAGTCCTCATTCCTTTTTCTCATATTAAATCTGCAAGCTGAGATTGTAGAGAAATGCTAGTTAAGTTTCTCAGCTAACATGAGTCTGATTTAGGTTTGGTGTCATTGCCTGTTCTGCCTCCATTCTCTTAATTCCTGCTTCTTACTCATATCCAAGGATTTGTTTTCTAGAATGAAGACAGTATTTTCCTATATGGCCCTTATAAACATTCTTCACTTCTCTATTGTCTAGCAGCCTGAAGGCTTCTGGCTTTGGAATCTTGGAAATCTTATATTTACCCTTGCTTTTCAACTCCTGAAATACATTTCTTAACTTGCATTGGCTCCACCCTTTGCTAAAAGTGCCCAGTTTCTACATATCACATATTATTAACATTTGGTTTAAGACACTTAATGTGGCCATGTGCCCATAATAGAAGATGTCACCTTTCCCAGAAGCTTGTCTGCATCAGTTCACTTCCTTACAGGGAGCTAGAATGTAATTCCACATTTCTTCTTTATCTTGTTTCTCTTTATCTTGTTTTTCTTCTTTATGTGCTGCTCACTGATTTCCCGTTTTATGTCTAAGGGTCCCCTCCAGTTGTCTTTTTTTTTTTTTTTTTTTTCCCAAAACAGTCATGACCAAAACTTTCTGAAGAGCCTGCATCTCTTTGCTGACTTATTACTTAAGTGCTTCCAGAGAAGCAGTCACCTAGACTCCTATCATTGCAGTTTTACAGCATCAAAACAACATTATGATTCAATAGAACAGCATTCAGTGGGCGCCTGGGTGGCTCAGTGGGTTAAAGCCTCTGCCTTCGGCTCAGGTCATGATCCCAAGGTCCTGGGATCGAGCCCCACATCAGGCTCTCTGCTAGGCAGGGAGCCTGCTTCCCTTCCTCTCTCTCTGCCTACTTGTGATCTCTCTCTCTTTGTCAAATAAATAAATAAAATCTTTTAAAAAAATAAATTTAAAAAATTTTTAAAAATTTAAAAAAAAGAACAGCATTCAGCTTTCAATAGGTGGAGAAAGAGGCTATTTACTTGTACATACCTAATTTTAAAATCACAACTCTAGAACTCTTTGACACATTTATCTCTGACCAACTTCATAGAACAGGTCTTTTTCTTACCTCTTAAAATCACATTTATTTATACAGAGTGTATAAGTGCTTATGGAGAGCTTGTTATTCACCACAAAGCATCTTTAATATGGCTTTAAATATGTGCATATAACTCCTGTTTTTAAATTAATAAGAAAACAAAGAGAATGTTTCTTAGATAGAACTTGGCAGTGATAGGGATGCCTGAGTGGCTCAGTTGGTTGCCTTCTTAAGCCTTGGGCTCAGGTCATGATCCCAGGGTCCTGGGATGGAACCCCACATTGGGCTCCCTGCTCAGCAGGGAACCTACTTCTCCCTCTCCCTCCATGTGCTACTCCCCCTGCTTATGCACACTTACTCACTATCTCTCTATCTTTCTCAAATAAATAAAATAAAATAAAAAAGAATTGCAGTGATAAAAGCCAGTACTTGGGTTGGCTAGGCCTGTGAATTTTAGCTGTTCATAGGATTTGAAGGGTGTATTTTTTCTCCAGAGGTTAGGATTTTATCCTTTTAAATAATATTTTCTTACTATAAAAAGTAGTATGTATTTATTAAAGAAAATTTGGAAAAACTAGAAGAAAAAGCAAGTTTTTAAATAATTCATAGTCTCACAAACTAAAAAAAAAAACCTCAGTTGAAACTTTGCTCTGTAATCTTCCTCACCTTTCTTTGTCTTTGTAAAGCTTAAAATATCTGCAATATTCAGATATTTATTGTCCCTCTGACCTAGTTAACTTTTCTTTTTTTTTGAGAGAGAGAGAGATAGTATGCAAGGGGACAGGGAGGTGCGGATGGAGGAGAGTGAGAGAAAGAATCTTAAGCAGGCTTCAAAAGGACTCGATCTCATGACCCTGAGATTATGATCTGAGCCGAAATCAAGAATCGACACTAAACAGCTGAGCCACCCAAGCGCCTCTTCTTTTTTTATTTTTATTTATGTTTTTAAATTCTTAAGTATCTGGATTTAAGACATTTAAAAAAAATTTATAAAAATAATGTTCAACATGGGGTTTGAACTCATAACCCTGAGATCAAGAATCTCATGTTCTACCAACTGAGGCAGCCAGGCACCCCTAAGACATTATTTTTTTAGACGGTTTTAGGTTCATGGCAAAATTGAGAGGAAGGTACAGAGATTTCCAGTATGCCTTCTACTCCCTCACATGCATAGTGTCCCCCATTAACAACATTCCCTCATCATTGTGGTACATGTCTTTTTCTTTTTCTTTCTTTCTTTTTTTTTCTTTTAAAGATTTTATTTATTTGACAGACAGAGATCACAGGCACGCAGAGAGGGGAGGGGAGGGGAAGCAGGCTCTCTGCTGAGCAGAGAGCCCGAATGCAGGGCTCGATCCCAGGACTCTGGGATCATGACCTGAGCCGAAGGCTTTAACCCACTGAGCCACCCAGGTGCCCCCATTGTGGTACATTTCTTAAAATTGAAGAACCTACACTGACAAGTCATAATCACCCGAGATCCATATTTTACCTTAGGGTTCACTTTTGAGTTGTACCTTTTGTGGGTTTGGACAGATGTATAATATGTATCCATCATTCCAGTATCATAGAGTATTTTCACCGTTGTAAGAATCCTCTCTGCTCTGCCTGTTCATTCTACCCCCTAGCCTCTACCTTATTTTTTCTTTTTTGTTAAACTATAAAAATTGGTTATTTTAAACTTGTAGAGGAGCTTTATCTAAAATTAATGGAAAACAGTTTTCTTTTTGGTTTTACTCATGTTGTAATTTAACCTATTCCAGGTTATTTAATTATTGGTTAATTTATTAAATAATCCAGGTTATTTAATTTAATTATTGATTATTACAATTACCACATTATTAATTTCTTACAGATTATCCCTCAGTGTTTGCTAGAGAATCTGGCTTGTTACTGAATATCCTAACCATAGATCCTGTACAGACACCCATAATGCAAGTCTTTTTTCACTAACCCAGATATGAAATGGTATATATTCAGAGATCCTGTGAGTAAAGTGATCATGGAGTAAAGTTTTACAGAATATGTGCAGTCTTTTAGTTCATTTTCTGTTTCTTCTTTTAATTACAGGAGCAAAGATTAATTCATTTTAGATTATTGGGATATAGAAATAAGACCTTGGGTTGGAACCATCTAATAATAATATATATAATATATATGTATATATAATATAAGCCATCTAATAATAATATAATAGTAATAAAAATAAAACACCGTCTGTTTTAATTGTACCAGTTTAGTCTAGGACATGGTTTCATGGTTTATTTAAGCCTTTTGTACTATATTAAAATTGAGCCCAATCTAACTGAGTTATGTATCTGGAATATACTCATCTTAAAGCTATTTTCTAAACTGGCTCTCATCAATATCTGCATTGCTTTTTTGTGTAATTTTTTTTTTAAGATTTTATTTATTTATTTATTTGACAGATCACAAGTAGGCAGAGAGGCAAGCAGAGAAAGAGGGGGAAGCGGGCTCCCCTCCGAGCAGAGAGCCCGATAGAGCCTGGGGCTCTATCCCAGGACCCTGAGATCATGACCTGAGCCAAAGGCAGAGGCTTAACCCACTGAGCCACGCAGGCATCCCATATTTTGTATAAGATTTTAATGCTGGTAGGAAGATTAGAAATCTTTCAGTTCATTTCTGCCCTTTTTTGGTCAAGACATTTAGACATACCCTGGTTGTTGGTCCTTTTTTTGTATTCTGTTTTGTTGTGTTTCGTTTTAAGAGTGAGAGCACTTGCAGGAGAGTGAGGAGGGGCAGAAGGAGGAGAGAGAGAATCTCAAGCAGGCTCCGTGCTCAGTGCGGAGCCCAACGCAGGGCTCAGTCTAATGACCCTGAGATCATGACCTGAGCCAAAATCAAGAGTTGGACATTTAACCAACTAAGCCACCCAAGTGCCCCAAGATTAAATTGTTTAAGTGATTTATGCATAGTTACCTTCGTTCATGGAATGTGAATGAAATTTTTTTTCCAGTTTTATATGGAGTTATTATTTGAAATGACCTAGATTGATGGTTTTCAAGCTTTCTTAAACTTATTTTTTCTTTCTTTTTTTTTTTGAGATTTTATTTATTTATTTGACAGACAGAGATCACAAGTAGGCAGAGAGGCAGGCAGAGAGAGAGGAGAAAGCAGGCTCCCTGCTGAGCAGAGAGCCCGATGCGGGGCTCCATCCCAGAACCCTGGGATCGTGACCTGAGCCGAAGGCAGAGGCTTTAACCCACTGAGCCACCCAGGCACCCCTTATTTTTCCTTTCAAAAAGAAATCTCACTTTGAGCTTTTCATATAAAGACATAATTGAGAGGGCCCATTTCTGAAGCCCTGTCCAGTGGCTTGAAGTAATTTCTAGGAACTTTAGGACCTAAAAACAATTCATTTTATAAGTACTCTATTTCATAGGATTGTTGTTTCGCAAACTGTTAATCATCCTATTTTGTTCAAAACTAGTGGTTGCAATAGGCAATCCAGAAAAATAGTGACAAAACATTTTATAGAAATAAGTGCACTTTGTACATCCCTGCAAGACAGTTTGAAGCCCCTGGTAGTTATGAAGCCACCAATGATTATTTTCCAGTTGTTTGTAATATGTGAATTGGCTTTGAGATACTGAAAATATTCCAGATGTGCACAGCAGGAATTATTAATAAGACCCTTAGAACTTAATTTTTTTTTAAGATTTATTTCTTTATTTTTGAGAGCGAGCAAGTGAGTGCACATATGTGAGGAGGGAGAGGGGCAGAGGGAGAGAGAAAATCCTGGAGCAGACTCCCCACTGAGTGTGGAGCCCAACACAGGGTTTGGTCCTAGGACCCTGCGATCATGACCCGAGCCAAAGCCAAGAGTCAGACACTTAACCAACTGAGCCACCTAGGCGGCCCCCTCATCCCCCGCCTTAGAACTTCATATAGTCCCTCATGTAGTTTAATTAATACCAATATGTATTGTCGAGCTCATATGCTGTGATTGAATTTTAGAAAGCATCCTTGAATGAATGTTTATGCCATGAATCTGACTTGATTTTCTTTCATTTGATAGGAAAAAGCTCCTCTATTTCTGAAGAGAAAGGTGAATCTGATGATGATAAACCAAGAAAAGGAGAAAGACGATCATCCAGGGTCAGACAGGTAACTTAAATACCTCTTAAAGCATCTTTCACTTCTTTAAGTACTGCTTTGGGTATCTCCTGCTCCTCTTCCTTGGACTTTTTCAAAGTTTGTGTCTCTTTAGATTTTTGTAGTACTCCTCTTTATCTCATTTTGGGTTTTTTCTTTGAGGGGGATGCTTTTTGTTTGTTCGTTTTTCTTTGTTTTTGTTTTTTTCCAAAAGTATTTGTTGGCATTTAATGAACCTTTTTCCAAATGGCTTCAAGCTACCAGGACACAGCACCCTCCAACCCCCTTCATCTTCTCCTCAGCTATTCTACTCAGAAATTTGGCCTTCACGGTCCACAGGCTGTTTGGGGAGCTTTCCCTTTCCCAAAACTTCCTAGTAGCCTGAGTGCACCACATCAAGGATAGGAGCAGGTCTGGGCTTGTTTCTGGCAGCATTTACCCGTGTCTTCTAACTGATGAAGGTCCGCTGTTTGTCAAGGTTGACAGATGGGCAGAAGCTCTGGTCCTCTTTAAGTGCTCACGCCTCATACCAACGTTTCCAGAGTAACTTGGGTGATATTTGATGAAGTTGATCACATGATGATGTGTGCCCCCAGCATTACCTTGCCTTCTCCGACTTTCAGTGCTTGCTGATGTGGCTGTGGCCCCAGTCGCCTCCAAAGTGTCCAGGTCTTCTCAGTCTGGGTGGCATGTGGGCAGCCCACACAAAAGAACTATTTTTTTGTTTTTTGATTAGGTCTACTCAGATTTCTAAGCAAATATATAAAAATCAAAACTAAATTATGAAAGTTAACAGGCTGGTCTGTGTTACTAAAGTACATTATTAGAAAAGATAGAGTTATTCAATTAGAACTTTAAAGCCGTATGATACGGTGTTAAGTGGGCAGAACACAAAAGTGTATCTGTGGTATGATTATGAGTATGGAAAAGAAACGATGGGGAAAAAATTGAATATACTAAAATGATAAAAATAATTACATTATGCAATGATAGGTTGGTTCCCCCACCACCTTGCCACTTTCTAGATGTTCAGTTTATATTTATTTTTAAAGCTTGAAACTAAAAAATGAACTGTAGCAGTTTCATTATTGCGTTTCATTTGCACTCTGTTTTGATCCCCATAAGAGCTTGATAGGTCATGCTTGTTTACTGGCACACTTGTTTGTGTAGATGCAAGCCTGTATCATTGAGTTTTTCCTTCCTATGTGTATCTCCTGAAAGACCCTTTCCCCTCTGATAGTGAGCAAAGATACTTGGATCCATTGTATATCTTTTCTTTTAGGCAAGAGCAGCTAAACTCTCTGAGTGTAGCCAGATGGCTGAGGAGGAAGAAGATCAAGAAACACCTTCCAGAAATCTGAGGATCAGAGCAGATAGAAATTTGAAAACAGAGGAGGAAGAAGAGGAGGAGGAAGAGGAAGAAGAGGAGGAAGAGGAAGAGGAGGATGAAGGACAAAAATCTAGGGATGCACCAGTCCTGAAACAGTTTGAGGAAGCAGAAGAGGGGGAAGAGTTGCCCAGAGTAAAACCAGAGGAGGTGATAGATGAGAGACCCCAAACCGTAAGATCCCAGGAACAGGAGGGGTTAGAGAGAGGAGGAAGAGTCACAAGGTCCCAGGAAGAAGCCAGAAGAAGTCATATGGCCAGACATCAACAGGAGAAAGAAATGAAAACAGTTTTTCCTCTTGAGAAAGAAGAAAAGGAAATAAAATCTTCAAAAGGCTTGGAGGAAAAATCAAAGTCTCCTTCCCCTCCTCGACTGACTGAAGATCTAGAAAAGGCCCCTCTTGTGCTACAACCAGAGCAAAATGCCGGTGAGGAGGAAACTCCCCCACCTTTACTTACCAAGGAAGCATCTTCTCCACCACCTACTACACAGCTCCAGAGTGAAGAAGAAATAGAGCCCATGGAAGGCCCAGCTCCCCCTGTCCTCACTCAGCTCTCTCCTCCTAATACAGATGCTGAGGTCAGGGAGCTGTTAATATCTCAGCATACTGTCCAGCTGGTGGGAGGCCTGTCTCCTTTGTCAAGTCCTGCAGACACCAAAGCAGAAACTCTAGCAGAGCAAGTGCCAGAGGAGAGTGTCCTGCCTCTAGTTCAGAAAAGCACACTAGCTGAATGCTCAACCCGGAAGGGTCTTGAAACTGAGGCAGAAAAATCTGCTCAACCACTCCCTCTTAAAATCGAGGAATTAGCACCGGCCAAAGGGATCACCGAGGAATCTCTGAAACAGCTGTCTTTGGAACAGAAGGAAGGTAGAAGGGCTTCTCAGACCCTTCTCCCAAGCCACAGATTGAAACAGTCAGCTGACTCCTCCTCAAGCCGGTCCTCCTCTTCATCCTCCAGTTCTAGATCAAGATCTCGCTCTCCTGACAGCTCAGGCTCTCAGTCTCACTCATCTCCAAGATCCAAGCAGAGAGATGTATCTCGGGCACGTACTCATACCAACCCTCGTGGCAGATCCGAGATGGACTCCCGATCAACATCAGAGTCCAGGTCACGTTCCCGTTCCCGTTCCCGTTCTCGTTCAGCTTCAAGCAACAGCAGAAAAGTAAGTGTGGGAGAATCCTGGGTGCGTTGGTGTTTTGTTTGTATTCCAGTGTTTTTCAACCCCAGGAGAACCTATTATGATTTCTGGCAGGAATGGGAAAAGCTTCCTTTAATCCCCAGGTCAGTGATTACTTTCCCATCTTTTCAGAATCTAATTTTTAATTCATCAATCCCTAAATAGAGTCCTTTTAATTTTTTTGAGTCCCTTCGATTCCAAAGCTGAATCCTTTACCTGTCTTCACTAGACTGTAAACTTGAAGATAGGTACAGGCCTTTTTACATGTGTATCCTAGTATTCTAGCACATAGTTGGGACTTAAGTAATTTTTTTTTTTAAGATTTTATTTATTTATTTGACAGACAGAGATCACAAGTAGGTAGAGAGGGCAGAGAGAGGAAGGGAAGCAGGCAGCCTGCTGAGCAAGAGCCTGATGCGGGGCTCCATCCCAGAACTCTGGGATGGTCAGATGATCCCAGACCTGAGCAGAAGGCAGAGGCTTTAACCCACTGAGCCACCCAGGCGCCCCGGGACTTAAGTAATTTGCTGAGTACTCTAGGAAGTCAAGGAGATCACGAACTCAAAGAGGAATAAACATAGGGAGGGAAGGGTCCAAAGTATTAATTGAGTCAGTGGAAGTTGGAAAACTCAGTGATGTACTGAATATATACCATATAAAATAATTTGCCTTATCTGCTTCATTTCTTTAGTCTCTGAGCCCTGGAGTCTCCAGGGACAGCAGCACCAGCTACACTGAAACCAAAGATCCCTCTTCTGGTCAGGAGGTTGCAACTCCACCAGTGCCACAACTGCAGGTCCTTGAGCCAAAGGAGAGGACTTCCACCTCATCCTCTATCCAAGTGAGGCGTTTGAGCCAACCTGAGCCAGCTGAAAAGCATGTGACCCAGAGGTTACAGCCTGAGCGGGTAGGCTATTATGCCCCCTCCCTAGAAGGAGGTGGAGGATTAGGCATGATTTTCTCTTTTGTCTTAGATGTAAAACTGGAAGGTCAGTCTAGATAAGGTTCAGTAGAAATATAGATGGTTGGGGATACCTGTATGGTTCCACTGACCTCCGTTCCAACTCCCTAGTTCATGAAAGCTCTATATGAGGCTAGGCAGCAAGGTCCTCCTCTCCAGGGCTCCCGGGATCATTTCCACAGAGTGTCATCTTTTTTTCTGCCCCAGAGGAAGGCTTTTCTTAGTTCTCTCAGAAAAGAAGTCTAATAAAATGATTGCTGGCATAGAAATTCCTTAAGCAGCATTCCATTCCACTTTCTAAACAAAAATAACAAAGATCTATAGGGCTAAGTGTGGAGCTGTCACTGTGGAAGTCCTGCTTTGCCTTTTACCAGCTCCAGGTTAAAAAAAAGGAACCAAGCAGATTTAAGTATGTTGCTATGGGTGTTTTGCTATGTTTGTTCTGACAGGGGAGCCCAAAGAAGTGTGAAGCTGAAGAGGCAGAGCCACCAGCTGCCACACAGCCCCAAACCTCAGAGACCCAGACCGCTCACCTACCAGAATCAGAAAGGATTCTTCACACTGTGTAAGTAATCTCTCTCAGCTGGGGTATAACAGGGAACTGGCAGTGTGGAGTAGTTCTTTGCTCCCGGGGGTTCTTTGACTAAGCAGTCCTAGTTTCCTTTTAAAACATAAAGGCAGAGCTTTATCTGGACAAAGGCTAGGCTTCAGTTACGTTGAGAGCCACCACTGACTTTCTAAGGATACTCTGAAAAGTGGTGGTTAGAGAGCATATCTGGGATCATCTGACCAAAATAGTTCTTTTAAGGAGCAGATAGCAGAGGCTTTGGTTTCCAAACTCAGGGCGGTATAAGGGAGTTGACTCAGGGCATTTTAACTCAATGTTTAACTCATATTTACCAGCTACATCTGAGCCTGGGAACACACTTTAATAAAGGATGTCAAGAGTCTACCAAGAAAGGCACAGAGAGGTGTTTTGAGTTTCTGTTGTTTTCCTTAGTTGCTAGCCGTCTTTTTATTAAGCATAGTCTATCTTAGTTCTTACTGGATACAGTACAGCAAAATGTGAAGCATCTATCAACCAGAAGTTTGTTTCTGGGACCCTTGGATTGATTTTTACCATTTACATAATTAATGTGAGTTTTTATTCCTTATATTTAGTTCTAGAAAAGTACAAGTAAGAATAGCTATATCATTCATTATTCTGAGCTAGGTACTATACGTTAAGAAGCCATTGAACCCAAATTCCTGGCTTTAGAGTCCCAAGGGAAGTGAAAAGCAAAACACTGTGGAAATAAGATTGCTTAGCTTTTAGACATCAAGAATCCTGTGCTGCTTTAGTGAACATCCAGTTTAGACAGTTGGCCTAAAGTTGTTCTCTGTTGGTTTTATGTCTTTTTAACACTAAACTACCAGTATGCTTTTTCCCTTTATGTAAAAGTCTAATAATTTACACTCTTCTGAGCGTTTCAGACTGATTTTGGAGGGTGGTGGGCAGGTGACATGATTTATTATCTCATTTCCTGATGACGTTAATACTAGTTTTGTACTCCTTACTATCTGTATAGCTTTTGCCTTGGGATACACCTTCGCTGCTGTCTATTCTAATAGTCTTGCCTCTGCTGCCATCTTGTGGCCATTACTTTTTTGGTTTGAAAGTCAAAAGTTCACTCTACTTCCTTTGAAAAGTTTTGTTTTTCCCTTTTCGGGAGGGTACATTATCCTTTGGAGAGGGTTTTTCTTCTAGGACCATAAAGTGAAAACCCCGCGGATTCTGGAAGGTGTTCAGGATTCCCCAGCTACACCATCGATGAGGAAATGGGGTGACACCTTCCCTTCCATATCGATCAACCAGAGATAATACCTGCCCTTCCTTACCCCATCCCAAGGGGCTGCAGCATGTCCTTTGTATAATGGCAGTTTCAAAGTAGGTGTTGACAACCTACTAGTAATTGGGCCTGAGGAACTGCCTCCTTTACACTTTGAGAAGCAAGTAATTTTGTAAGGTTTTTGTTTGCCCTGAAATTTAGTGGGTGTATGAGATCCTGGCAATAGCACTTGATGCTGTTTTGAAGCATCTTTATTTCTGGACTTCAGCATGCAAGTCCAAGGCACAGGAAACTCGGAGTCCTCTACAGAGTATTTCTCCCCATGTAAAGGTGCCTTTGATTTTCCACTTTATGACAGGTAATCTAGTCACATTGATTCCAACAAGGTGATAGGCAAGTGGCACCCTGGGCAAATACTGAGACTGTCCATTGTTGCCTAGGCAAGCTTCAGTGAAGCAGCCTATAGGTGAGATATGCGATCTGAGCTCGGGAGTAGCTCACACACATCCCCTTTACCTACTTTCCCTCTGCCTGTCTCCCAGATGGTCTATTCAGCAGCTTAATAAAAAGACATGCCCAAGGGCCTAAACTCGTAGGCTATTCTGGCACTGGATTTGGTAAATGACTCTTGGAGAGGTTTACCTCCATTTCTGGAAGCCATACTGCATCTGATTCACACCAGTCATCCTAGTCTTTCACTCCTCTAGAGTCCTGGTTTTCAGTCTGGTGACCTCTGGAGCCTCTGGCCAATTTTAAAAGTGGGATCAAGAATTTGTGGCTTCACCTTGGTTTTCCTATCTGTCTCAACAAGAGACAGATCTAGGGCCTATTGATTCAGTAAAATGTTCAAAAAAAAAAAAAAAAAAAAAGACTTCAAGGACCTGTCAGCACCTGGAAGAGATTGCCTAACTTTTTTTGTGCTTTGTTAAATCCATTCTGATTCTGATTGTTCCCTGAGGAATTGTTAATTTATGAGGTAAGGTATCTTGTCATTGCTTGGAACAGGAATTTGTGGCCCTCAGTCCTATTTCAGTTGAGCCATGTTCCAAAATCCAGTCTTCTGCCTGCTATGGATATAACAAAAGTGTCTTCATACAGCAGAATATGATGCTACTTTGTTTTTACATTAAAAAAAAAAATAGGGGAGAAAAAAGAACTTAACATGTGAGCAACTGTATTATCCAGCAGTAGTTGATTCAAACCTGAATTTTTCCTGATACAACCTTCTGAGTACACAACCCTTGCAGGCAATAGCGGCTTTGGGCTTTTGCCTTATGTTTATTTGTCCTTTTGCCTGAGTACAAGGAAGAAAATAGTCCTTTAAACCAATATGACAATGTAATGGTCACTCTCCAGGGAACCCACAGTACCAGTATGCCAGTAATGCATAATTTTTAAAAGTAGAATTTATTGGTGATCATCAGTGGTATTTGCTTACTAAGAAATTGGAATCTAAGGACATACCCCCCAAATCATATCATCCTTGGTTATCTTGAAACTAGTATGCCCCTGCGGTATTCTATATTTAAGACTCACTGCCTGAGAATAGTCACATCCCACTATTTCATATCAGGTCCTCAGCTCCTCATGAATTTTCTGTAGTAACTAAAATTCAAACATATACACCTGTAGAAATTTCCTTTTCTGTTAGTTTTTCTGAATCTTAGATATTAACTATAATGTGATGTTGTTAATCTCCAAATAGTTCTGTCCTTTTCTTCTGGGCTGCAGATGCTTTTTGTGCTGTTCAATTATGGATAGAGATCTCCTGTCCCTAAGCCCCCATGCAGTTTCACAGATTTTTCAAAGATACCAGAAATATTTGTGCAAGAACTTAAATGTGGGAAGGGAGATGTCTAGATGCCTTTTGTTTAAAAAGGGCTACAAAGAAAAGCTGTGTGGACCTCTGACAAGTAGCTGACAAGGCTTTGGGACTGGTCCTACAAGCAAGTAGGTTTGAGTCTCTTTTGGGGGCAGTTTCAAGGATTCCCCTTTTTCTTATGAAAATAAAGTCTTTGGAATCCTGGATCCCACAGAATTGTTCCTGGGGAAATAGATGGCACAAACTCACTGAGTCTAAAGAAGGCCAAGGATGATGTCGTAAAATTCTTATTCTTGAAAAAGTGAGAAAGAATTTCCAATGAAAGAAAAATTTTTCTTCCAAGGAAGCTACTTCTGGAGAGGCATATTGGCAGCTGAAACTATTTTAAGACAGTTGATGGATAGGGAACATTTATTTGAGGATGTTGGAAGGTAACATTCTCTGTGGGAATTCCATCTAAAGTGATGTTTAAGAAGAAAACTTTGGGGTGCTTTGTGGCTCTATTGAGAGCATGCGACTCTTGATGTTGGGGTCATGAGTGCAAACCCTACATTGGGTGTAGAGCTTACTTTAAGAAGAAGAAAACTTAGTTCGGCAGGCAGTCATTAAAGTGTCCACTTGGTACACACAAGGACAGCCTACTTCAGAAATATTTACTGAGCATTTCTTTGTGTTAGGCCCTGGGCTAGGGTTGAGAAGTGTAGTCCCTGAGCCTGAGGAGTCCTACAAGGTGGAGGTGTGGGGCAAGTCATCCAACGCTTACTATACAGGGTGATGAGGTCCTTGCTGAAAACCTGTCAGACCAACTACTGAGTGCCTTCATATCAGAGAAAGTGCAGTCTACTCTTTGAGAAAACTCAGAAAAAGTTCCATAGGTGGTATCAAATGAGATAAATGGCATATTAAATGTACATGTTCTTAATGCATATCCTTACCTTGACTTGGAGTGTTGTCCAAGCCAGACTTCTAAGGGCAAAGCCTTATCATACTGTTCCATGAGATAGGTATTTTGTGATCCCCACTTTACAGGATCAGAGACTAGCCCAGTGTCACAGAACTTGTGGAACAGGGTCAGGCTGTGATTGGTCCCTAGCCAGTTTGACTGCAGAGCTCTCAGTCTTAATGAGCAAACAGTGGTGACTAAGTGAAAGGGAACTTTTAGAGTGATGTGTAAACATGACCACTTTAGCATGTAGTCAGCATGTACAAGATTCTAAGCAGTGGGGAGGAAAATTTACTCCTGGCTGAAAGCTCTGATATTACAAATGAGATAATAAATACCAAGCTTTTGATTAAATACCTTACTGTTAAACCTCTGCTGCCGCTAGGATGCAAAAGGAGCATCTTTGCAGTCAAAAAAGGAGTGTTTGAGCATCTACTGAGTGTGTTTTTTTTGAGTGGTTAGAGTCAGTTTATTTCACATTTAGTCTGGTGAAGATGCCCATGATTAATAATTTCCATTTAGTTCCCAAAAACTTCAGGCCCAGCAGACAGCCCCCTACCCACCCCCCCAACCGCCCATGTAACAGCTCTCTCCGGCTTCCTATCTACTTCGGAGCCGCCAGCTTGGAGCACTTGCTCTAAGAAGTGGCCTTCATGCTTCAGCTACCCAAGGTCCCCTTGCCCTGTTTATCCTTTTCCTTTCTGGCTCCAGGGGACCCCGGGGCAGGGTGACCTGATTAAAGACTCTGTGAAACAAAGTTGTCTGTCATCTCTTCAGAGACCTCTCTCCCCCTCTCTACTGGTAATTCAAAAAGGAATTCTCTTCTATCCTCTCCTCCCGCCATCCCTGGAGAAAGGACAGGTTGGAGTAATAACACGTGGTCATTGCTTGGGGTGAGCAGCCAGCTAGCTCCTCCAGTGATTGGATAGAGCTAGTTCTCATCCCACCTCCCTGCATGAACAGCTGACTGGCTTCTAGGATGGAGGGAGGTGAGCACATGAAAAATTGCTCATGACCCTCCATTATGTGCCTTTTTAAACTTTGGCTTTGTTATCTTCCTTCTTTAGTCATTTCTTGTTCCCAAGCTCTGCTGTTTCCCTTTCTTCTTTTCTCTGGAATCTTCCAAGCAAGCAGCTGTAACTTTGTATGTCCTCTCCACCCAGCCCCCTTCCCCCGCCCCCTGGGAAGACAAGGAGAGTGCACCCTTTCCCTGTGGGGTTAGGCCTCGGTAGCTGTTGTAACCTGAGAAAAGAAGGAAAAAGGCCAGGCCTATTGAGCCAGCAGTGAGCTCCCTGTGGCCTGCCAGAGGATAAGAACCTTGCTCGCTCAGCGCCCTCCCTCTTCTCTTTCCCCTCCCCTGCTGCAGCAGGGCCCTCCCCCATCCGCACACACGGGCTGCTGGGTAAGTGGCAAGATGGCTCCCCTGCATGTCTCCGGCTGATCGCCGCCGCTCCGCCAATACAATAGAGCCAGCCACTACCAGCAGCCTGGCCCTCTTCCTCCTCCTTCTCCAGAGAGACCAATCCAGCCGAACCCGGGGTTTGCCGTGAGGACTTAACGCTTATCTCTTAAAAGCCAGATCTATTTTAGCCTCCTCTCACCACCACCACCACCACCTCCCCTTCCATTTACCATTTTTTGGATCCCCAGTTGCTGCATCTCGATTTTCTCTCTCTGGATCGGGTGGCTGGGGAGGAGGTGGTGGGCTCTTGGGACAAGGAAGGTGTTGTGGGTTTTTTTTTTAATTTTTTAGGATTTTTTTTGTTTGGTTTTTGTTATTTCTTCCATTCCAGAAAGGGATAAACAGCACTTCCAGGGGGAGAAAAAAAATCATGTTATCAGAAAGCAAAGAAGGGTGAGAGCTTCACATTTCCATGTATCCCGTTTCCCCACCGCTCTAGCCTACCTCATCCTCCTCCTTTTCCCCATGGCTTTCATTCCGTCTTTTCGTTTTGGTTTGTTTTCAGTCATTCTGCTTTCCCCCTTTGTCCTTCCTGCCTGGTTTCTAATTGGCCCAACTTGCCCTCTCCATATGGGAAATAGGTATTTTTTGTATAAGTCTTTTCTTTAGATTTAGGCAGTTGAATCGCGTGTTTCTGTGGGTGCCGGATAGCTGGGGGCACAGTTCCGATTTTCCCCTCCCCCTTCCCGTGCATCCCTCCCTGCATGCTCTGGGGAGGCTGTTCTGACCTCTGAGTGTCAGTCAGCCTGTGGGGAATGCTGAATTTTCTGGTGGTGGTTCTCAGCGTGAGGATGCGTTGTTTCCCCTCTCCTGGGTCCTGGGCCCCTGGTCATCTTAATTTGATTTTTTTTTCCCCTTAATGTTTGGGTGGTAGTGGGAGTGAGATTAGAGATAGAAGTTACGGATGAAGACAGAAAAAGGAGATGGGAAGATAGTTTATCTTAAGTGAATCTCTGGGATTCATTCCCTGAAGTGGGAGCTAACTTGTGTGATTCAGAGTGGGGGTGGGGGGATTCAGTATTTGTAGTGGGGAGGGGATCCAGGGTGTGGGGGAGGGTGTGTCCTGACTGGGAGGCCTGCTCTCTTTATCTCTTGGAAGTTGGAATGAGGGAGTGGGAGAAACTGGGCGAAAGCTGAATGTAAGAACAATTCCTACACCTCTGAGAAGGTAAAAGTGGCCTGATTCTTCTCTGAGCTTTCAAACTCCAGCATTTGTCATTTTTCCTTTTGGATGAGAGTGTCCTTACTGAAGTTTGAACCCTCACCAGCCCTGCTTTCCCTGCAACCACCACTTCTCCCCCCCCCCCCGCCGTTTCTCCATTCCTGTTTCCAGATCCTGTGGGTTGGTAGGCCTTATTAAGCAGTTGATTGTAAACACAAGCGTGGGATCACTTGCCACAGCCATTCTTTCTTGTCTTAAGCAATCAGGCTTCCCTTAATTTCTCATGCAATTTTGTTAAAAGATGCCTGTGGCCAGGGGATAGGGAGGATACAGGGTTGTGGGCAAATTGGTCACGTTTGAGGGACTGTTTAGAGGGCTGTTTCCTTTCCTTGTAAGGGTACTCTGTTGAATTGCCTAAAAACAGTTGGTAGTCCTGACCCCACAGGTCACAGCTTTATCCCATCTGAGCAGTGGGTGGATGTGGTTGCTACGATCTGTGCTCTTCTCCCAAGGAAAACAGTTTGCCAGTTGCCTTGTGGGGGCAAGGGATCTAGTCTCATCTGAAAAGCAGCTCTCCCAGCCCCACCCAAGTAATGAGGCATGGGGGTTTCCTGACCCCAAACCTAACATCTTGCTCTCTCTTCCCCTTGGTTCTTCCCTGCCCTTCCTTCCCTACCTCTCCCCATACTGTCAGTGAGGAGAAGGAGGAAGTGACCATGGACACAAGTGAAAACAGACCTGAAAATGAGGTTCCGGAACCCCCCGTGCCTGTTGCAGACCAAGTCAGCAATGATGACCGCCCAGAGGGCAGTGCTGAAGATGAGGAGAAGAAAGAGGTAAATTTCCAAGCCACCTGTTGGGGTGGGTGGACAGGAGCGGGCTGAGGAGAGTTAGACCACTTTGGTAATCACTCTTACACAGTGGGATAGCTTAAAGGAGGGGGTAGGCAGATTTGGATCAGGATAGGGCCAAGGGCGAATTCGCTGGTTTAGCAAGGGAGACCCCTTGTGATGGGGACAGGGTTCATTCATTCCTCTTTTTTTGTTGGGGAAGTGCAGTCCAGACTGTTGGAAGTTTGTAACTAAAGGAAGTCAGTTAATGGCCCTTTATCCAACACCCAGGCCCAGCTTTGCCTGCTACCCTCTCAGGCTTCTCCTTGTGGTAACTGTTACTAGCTTTCCCTCCTTTTTAAAAGCCTGTGGGGGCTCACCGCCATCTAGTGGGCTTTGGTGGTTCTCAGCTGATGAACTGTGCTGAGGAATTTTTGTTCCTCCTCTGCCCTCTAGTGGTCATATCGGAGAGATATAGCTACTTAAGAAGCCAGCACTTGGGGTGATCCCAAAGGCCCCTTCTCCATATATCTCTGACTCCTCTGCTTCCTTTTTTAGCATATATGTTATCTCTATCCTGCACCCAATTCATGGGGACTCCCCCCATCAGAGCCAGCGAAGTCTTCTTGGCTCTTAAAGTAATAGAGAAAGAATTAGCTGGGTTTGGGAGCGGGGTAACAGGATGGGAGGGACTGTCCTGTGTGTAGCCTTTCTTTGGTGTGTGTTGCGGGGGTGGGGGCCGGTGAAAGTGATTTGATGTGCAGAATATTATTTATTACAAGGTCCTTCTTCCCCGTAAAACTTTGTCCAAGTACCTCATGTACGGTAATCCGCCCGTAAAATATAACCCTGCCCAACTGGCCAATCGCTGATGCCGCCTCTTCCTCTGGACCCACCCGCTGCTACTGAGCTGCCCAATCAGAGCCGAGTCTGCTATCCAGGTGTCTTGGCCAGAGGGGGGCATGTATATGGGATCCTGTGATGGGCCCCCTTTTGCCTCCCTGCCTTGCTTACATCAGGGGGCCAAGAAGAGCACTGTTGTGGAGAGACTTGTATTGAGAAAGCAAAAAGCATTTGGAAAGGGGTGGACTTGCATCATCTCCCTATTTGGGACACCCCAAGAAGAGCTTGTGTCAGTGCTGGGGCGCCTGTCCACATGCCCTTACCCTTTTGAGGACTGTGGGTTGCCTTGTTTGCTACAGACTGTTGGGATTCCCATCTAGGGCACCAAGATCTCCTAAAGAGTCAATGTTTGTGATCACAGTGCCATGCTGTAAAATACCGAGTGGAGGCTCTCCGCTTAAGCTGTGACGACTAGGAGCCCTGCAGAGAAGTCTAGGGTTTGAGCCCAGGGATTTAATGCTGATGACAGCCAGCCATGTATCACCACTTGCTCATCAGATGGACTTTCCTTTGGTCCCTGTTGTCCATGGTGAAGGGCAGCACGTTGGTTGCTCCAACTTCTCCTCCATCCCTGGAGGCAGGGGCTCATCCATCCACCTGACTGGAAGCACTGTCTCAGCTGGAGTCCCTGAGGAGATGCCACACACAACTCTCAGAAGAAAAGTATTCTGACCTTGCTGCTGAATGTGTGCCAGGTCCTGGGGCTCTCCACCTACTGCCCCCAGGCTGCCTTCATCAGAGGCTCCATGATCCCACTCGGTGAGAGGACCCCTTCCCCATTTACAGGCAGAGGAGAAAGGGACTCTGGAGTCATCACCTGGATTCCAAGTATTGGGTGGTGGTATTGCTGGATCTTGCCACTGGTGGACATAGGGTCCTGCCTGCCTCTCACGATAAAAGGCCAGGACCATTCCTGCTGCTCACAGGCCATCTCATCAGGGACTGCAAGATGATGCCCCTACAGGGCTGGGACTGATGTCTCTGCCCCTTTTCCCCCTGTACCCCTCGCTGAGCCTGGCCACCTCCAGTGAACTGTCTTGACATCATGGAAACTGGGCAGCGTCCCCCCACACGTTTTCCTCCCGCCCCCCCTGCGCCCCTGGGAGGACTCTGGCAGTGCCGTGCTGACCACCACGCCGTGCGCCCACCTTTTTTGCCAACCCAACCCCCCACCAATTGCACAGCGCCTAGCAGGGAGGGCTCATTCTGATTGGACCGGCGGTTGACTAGATACAGTACACAGTGAGGTGCGATTGGCTGAACTGAAGATCCCAGGTGTGAGATGGTACCTGGAACATTTGTCATATTCCTAGTTATTTTCTTCTTTATTTTCTTCTTCTTTTTATTTAATCTTTTATTTTGATTATTTTCTCTTTATTTTTCTGATTTCTTTATTGGATTTATTTATTTGGTTCATGTTTTTCCTGTTTTAATTAAGACCTTTTTTTTTCCTTCTTTCTTTACTCTTTTCTCTTTTCTTTTTTTTTTTTCTTTTCTTTTTTTTTTTTTTTTTCCTCACTAACTTACCCATCGAGAGCGGCCCGGCTAGGGGTCAGGTTGGCCCTTAACGGAGACCAAGGAGACTTGGTTAGACGACACAAACGGGGCTGGGGGGTGGATGGGGAAAGGGGATTTCATCAAGAGGGTCCTGCCCTACCCTTTAGAAGGGTGGTAGGTCTTAGTTTTTCCAGAAATAAGCACTGAAATCTGAAAATAATCCCCTTTTCTCTCTCTCCCTCTTTTTGCTCTATCCAGAGTCTTTCTCCCACTGAGTGGGGCAAAAACTTGCTCAAAGGCAGGTTTGGGAGTTTCTGATCCTTGGCAGAGCCCCTAAGGCTTAAGCCTTGGTTGGAGAGGAAACAGTAAGGCTCTGATAGAGCTCTTTATAGTGGGTTGAAAAGCCAAGAGGCTACCTGGGGACAGTTTGCCCCTCAAAAAAAAAAAATAGCCTTCCTTTACCAAAGGCACCTTTAGAGTCTTTCTCCTGGCACTTGGCTCAGGAGCATCCTCTTTGACGGGTCTAGTGCTGCTCTGCCCTTTAGGGGTATTGACAGCCTTAACAGTCTGCTGTCCCAGTAAATCAGAGCCATAGTCCTTGGATGTCAGGCTGGGCATTGAGAAGAGGAGGCTTACCTTGTTGTAGTGATCATCCCAGAGTTGGTTTTCCTTGCTTTCTCATGTTTTCTGAGAGTTTGCAAGAAGACCTGGGAGGACTAGATGACCCAGTTCTGGGCATATCTTGTTGGGTTTGGCACCCTCTTGACCCATAGAGACAGTGGAAGAGGACAAGACCTATGCCTTTAAAGGGCTGGGAGGCTCCTGAATTCCTCTTCCAGCTTATTTCTGGTTAAGCTAATACACAGGTGTGGTATGGACTAGATGACTTTCCCCTGCTGTGATGTTTGATTTTATTTTTTTCTCTAACTTGCATTGATTCTGCTTCGTTTTTGCCGTTTGCCGCTTCTGTTTTGGTCTCTGTCTGTCTCTGTGTCTCTCTCTCTCTGTGTCTTTGGAGCCTGTGCTAAGACCGCCCCATCTAACCTCCTTCCCCCCTCTCTGTGGGGTGTGTCTCTTTCTCTTTTTTTTTTTTTTTTTCCCCTTTTCTTCTCTATACAGAGCTCGCTGCCCAAATCATTCAAGAGGAAGATCTCCGTTGTCTGTAAGTCTAGCCCCAAATCCCTGATAAAGGTCAGGAGTACCATAAAAATCAGTTCATAGAGAAATAGGTTTCCACTCACTGTCAGTGGCATTCTTGGGTCATCCCTTCCCCCCCACTTCCTCCACCCAACGAATCTACATCTTCTTGGCATATGTAGGGTTCCATTTTGAAATTCAAAACTTCAGACAATCCCTGTCATTTTCCCCAGGTCACATTTCTTTCTTAACTAATGACACTATAAGGTGTCTCACAGTTTCCTATCTAGCCCTGCGTGCATTTTCTCTTTCAGATACCTGAACCCTCAGAACCAGCATTGGGTTTGAGGGACTCCTCTATAATGTTTATCTGTTTATCCTTTATTCTGAGGGAATGTCTGAGGAAAGGAGAGTGCTCACACCTCAAACAGTAACATTTTTAACATTTTCCCAATGAGGAACTCTAAATCGAAAAAGTGCGATAGATCTTTATAACTTAATGTGAAGTCATAGTGTGAAAGTGAACCTAAAGCATGATCAGATCACGTCACAGTCTTAAACTTTACTTAGACATCAGTATCACATAGTCTTGTTTTTCTGCATTCTCTGTCCTTCTCAGTCTGTCTTCCCCATGACTTTAGTTATTTCTGCCACTAAAAGTTTAAACTGCTCACCACCCTAGTTAACCATCCCTCGTTGCCTTCAGAGATACAGCAGTTTTTATTGGTCAGAAAGTGGCTCCATTCCTTTTATTGTTCACTCTGAAGCATGGTTTCCCCAATCCCCAAATACAGTTTCCTTAAGTAACAAACCTTTTACTGAAATTCCAGTCGAAGGCTGTCTTTAGGTGTTAATGGTGTGAACCAGCGGAGGACCTAAGACCATCTAACTGTTCGGTCCTATTTCTTGGGGACAGCAGCTACCAAGGGGGTGCCAGCTGGAAACAGTGACACAGAGGGGGGCCAGCCTGGTCGGAAGCGGCGTTGGGGAGCCAGCACAGCCACCACACAGAAGAAACCCTCCATCAGTATCACCACTGAGTCACTCAAGGTGAGGTGGGAGGAGCCAGGGAGGGAAGGATGAGACACATTGAGGTGGGAGTAGACACGGGCCCAGTGTAACGGGGTGGGGGGTATCTGTGTCCCAGAGCCTCATCCCCGACATCAAACCCCTGGCGGGGCAGGAGGCTATTGTGGATCTTCATGCTGATGACTCCCGAATCTCTGAGGATGAGACAGAGCGTAATGGTGATGACGGAACCCATGACAAGGGGCTGAAGATATGCCGGACTGTCACCCAGGTAAGGCTTTTGTACCCAGTGTCAGGGGAGCAGGCAGTGGACTGAGTAGGCAGCCAGGCTAGAGTCCTGGAAGGGAGATCTGCTATCTCTGTGGAGGGTTGGGCTAATTGCGATTTTAGGGGTCAGCAGATTACCACATCCTACCTTTTGTCCATAATAAAGAAAATTTTATTAGAACAGGGCTACACCATCTCATTTACTCTTATCTCTGGCTGCTTAAGTGCTGCAACGTTCTCCTTGAGTTGCAACAGAGTGTATGACTCACAAGGCCTAAAAATATTTCTCATCTTGCCCTATACAGAAAAAATTTGCCCACTCCTGCCTTCGTTTTCCTCACGGCAGAGCTGAGGTATTCATAATCCCAGGATCCAGTGGAGGAGGATGAAATCTTTCCCCTAGTGGAAGGAACATGCTAGGTTGACTGTCCCACCCTCTCTCAGGAAACCAGAGGCGGAGAAGAATGAGCCAGTTTGGTTTTTAAGAGTTCCTCCATTATCTGATACCTTACAGGTAGTTCCTGCAGAGGGCCAGGAGAATGGGCAAAGGGAAGAAGAGGAAGAAGACAAGGAGCCTGAAGCAGAAACCCCCATCCCTCCGCAGGTTTCAGTAGAGGTGGCCTTGCCCCCGCCTGTGGAGCATGAAGTAAAGAAAGGTGGGTCAAGCCTGCAGCTCCCTGAATCCCCAGTGTACTTTATTTGGACCTTTCTTAAAAGCCTTTAATGTTTCCTGCTTTTTATTCTAGTGTTTTGCATCTCTGTTTTACCTTCCTTTGCTAGTTAGTAAGCTGCTTGAGAGCTAGGTTTGAATCTTTGAATCTCTATAATGAGGAGCTTTGCCTAGATAGTACCTTTTTTTTTTTTTTTTTTTTTTTTTTTAAAGATTTTATTTATTTGACAGAGATAGGAGAGCACAAGTCGGCAGAGTGGCAGGGAGAGGGAGAAGCAGGCTTCCTGCCAAGTGGGAAGCTTCAAAACAGACTCGATGCCAGGACCCTGGGACCATGACCTGAGCTGAAGGCAGACGCTTAACTGACTGAGCCAGCCAGGCGCCCTGCCTAGACAGTACCTGGCACATTGTAGGCACTCAGCACAGTCGGGTGGAAGAGTGACTGCTTGGTAGGGAGTAAGAGAAAGGCGGTATAGCGGAGGTAAGAGAGCTAGCGTTGCTCCCTGCTGAAATCTGTTCATATGCTCTTTTTGATAGTGACTTTAGGAGATACTTTAACTCGACGTTCCATTAGCCAGCAAAAGTCTGGAGTTTCCATTACAATTGATGACCCAGTCCGAACTGCTCAGGTGCCCTCCCCACCCCGGGGCAAGATCAGTAACATCGTCCACATCTCCAATTTGGTGAGTCGGAGTCATTTCCCACAGCACAGCCTTGTTCAGTGGTTAAAAGTTTGAGCTTTGCATTCCTGTTACTTATCTTCCACTCCTAGATCTGCGAGTTACTCACTTATTGAGTGACTTAATCTTTCACAGCCAGTCTCCTCATCTGAAAAATAGGGACAAAGTATGAGCCTACAGGGCTGTCTGGAGGATTTACAGAGGGCTTGGCACATAATGTCTCCCTTAGTGTTACTGCTTTTCGCTTCTCTCACCCTCCCCCCTCTGCACCCACACTCTGAAGTTGTACTGCTGTGCCAGATACTTGGGGAAGCTGAAGACTAGTTACAGGAGTGTTCTTGCCTTCTTCAAGACCTGGAAACTCCATTTTCCTTGGCAGGTGCGCCCCTTCACTTTAGGCCAACTAAAGGAATTGTTGGGCCGGACGGGAACTCTGGTGGAAGAGGCCTTCTGGATTGACAAGATCAAATCTCACTGCTTTGTAACGGTGAGGGGAGGAAGCTGATTTTCTAGGTTGTGGCGCATATTTCCTTTTGTAACCAATGTGGGCAGGTTCGAGGGTGTTGTGGCAAGTGGGAGGGATTGAGGCCTGTTGTGACCCTCTGCCTTCTCCCTTCCTCCACCAGTACTCAACAGTAGAGGAAGCAGTTGCCACTCGCACAGCTCTGCATGGGGTCAAATGGCCCCAGTCCAATCCCAAATTCCTTTGTGCAGACTACGCCGAGCAAGATGAGGTAAGAAACCTAGGGAAAGGAAGGAGGAGAGGGGCAGGGAAGGCCATTATCTGCTAGAAGCCAGCTGAGATCCTGGCCAAACCTGCAGTCACTGAGATTCCTTCTCCCTCTTCTCCCTACCCCTTGGTTCCTTTTGTTGGACCGTGGGGCTCCAAAATCTGTCTGCCCTGATAACCTGGGCTCCTTCAGTGGGAGTGTTATCCTCTCCATCCTGACTGTCCTTGTCCCTCCTCTACCCACAGCTGGATTATCACCGGGGCCTCTTGGTGGACCGTCCCTCTGAAACTAAGACAGAGGAGCAGGGGGTACCACGGCCCCTGCACCCCCCGCCCCCACCCCCAACCCAGCCACCACAGCACCCCCGGGCAGAGCAGCGGGAGCAGGAGCGGGCGGTGCGGGAACAGTGGGCAGAGCGGGAACGGGAAATGGAGCGGCGGGAGCGAACTCGATCAGAGCGTGAATGGGATCGGGACAAAGTTCGAGAAGGGCCCCGTTCCCGATCACGGTCCCGTGACCGCCGCCGCAAGGAACGTGCGAAGTCTAAAGAAAAGAAGAGTGAGAAGAAAGGTACTTAGCTGTGGGGACACACATACCTGCTAGTAGGTGGGAAAGGAACCCAAATGGGATGGGACACAGGGTCATAGGGCACAAGGTCTGACTCCCTTTCTTCCACCTCAGAGAAAGCTCAGGAGGAACCACCTGCCAAGCTGCTGGATGACCTTTTCCGTAAGACCAAGGCAGCTCCCTGCATCTACTGGCTCCCGCTGACTGACAGCCAGGTGAGTGCCCACTTCATGCTCCACTCCGAGTAGCAGCCAGGCCTCGCAGCGGTGCAGGGAGACGCACTTGACTACTGGCATGCTTAGGGCCCAGGTATCGGCATAGGATAATAAGGGAAGAAACGATGCATCAAGGTAAGGCAGTTTGAAGAACCAGGTGACTACGCCACAGAGAAGCCAAACCTGAGAGTGTGAAGATCAACATGAAGACAGAAACTGGGTTTGTGCATCTAGGAAGCTGACTGTGCCGACCATCCTTGAAATTGGTTTCAGCTAGCTGAGAAACCATTTCTTTGTTTTTCTGTTTGCTTCTAGGATTTTTGCCCTTTTTTTTTTTTTCAATTTTTATTTATTTAGTGAGTAATCTGTACAGCAAATGTGGGGCTCAAACTCACAACCCCAAGAACAAGAATTGCATGCTCTTCCAACTGAGCCAGCCAGGCAGCCCTAGGATTTTTTGCTTTTTAAATTTAAGTTTCTTTGTAATGAGCCTTTTTGGGAATTTGAGGCTGGTGTACTCCACTGAAGGGAAAAGTAGTTTGTTCACATCTGAGTAGCTAGGGAAATACCAGAGGCGGGGCATGGGGCATGGATGGTGCCCGCTGCCTATCGTGGGTATCGTGGAGGGATTAGGCCCAGAGACAAAGATGTGATTGCTGACAACCCTGTTCCTGCTTAACGGCAAAGCGGGCAATGATCCTGAGCTAGGGCAGGGTCCAGGGACATCCAGAGAAAGCGGGACTGGCGTGAGTGGGGCTGAGATCCCTCTTCTCTGCCTTTGCCACCTGCTGCAGATTGTTCAGAAGGAGGCAGAGCGGGCTGAACGGGCCAAGGAACGGGAGAAGCGGCGAAAGGAGCAAGAAGAGGAAGAGCAAAAGGAGCGGGAGAAGGAAGCAGAACGGGAACGGAACCGACAGCTGGAGCGGGAGAAGCGTCGAGAGCACAGCCGAGAGAGGGACAGGGAGCGAGAGAGGGAAAGGGAGCGTGACAGGGGTGATCGAGATCGGGATAGGGAGAGGGACCGAGAGCGAGGCAGGGAGAGGGACCGCAGAGATACCAAGCGCCACAGCAGGAGCCGGAGTCGGAGCACACCTGTGCGGGACCGGGGTGGGCGCCGCTAGCCAGGAACACATGAGGGAGAGCTGCAGGCATCAGCCACCCTGCCCTGGGGGGTTTGAGGCCACAGAGGGATAGGTACAATCTCCACCGCCCTAGAACCAGGGGTCTTTCACACCATTTACCCAGTGCTCAAGTATGGCTGCCACCTGTCCCCACATACCAAATGGAGCAGTGGCTGTCTTTCCCCTCCAAAGCCCCACCCCCGTAACCTATCTCTTGGGAGTTAGCCCTCTCCTCCCTCTCATTTCCCATTGTTGAGTCTGAGAGGGAAGAGCTAGGTTAGGGATGGAGGTGGTTGGCCCAGAGGTGGGGAACAGCTAGGAGCCCCAGACCTCTCATTTTTCCTCCATCCTGCTCACCACCTCCTTTGGGTACTCACAACCCCCTCTTGGGAACAGCTGGGGCCAGGACTGGGTCACCTATGAGCTGAATCAGCATCTCCTCCTGAGTCCCAGGGCCCCTGCAGTTCCCAGTCTCTTCTGTCCTGCAGCCCTTGCCTCCTGCCCACCGGTTCCACTTTATATCCACCTTTTCCTTTTGTTCAATTTTTATTTTTATTTTTTTTATTATTAAATGATGTGGTCTATGGAAAAATAATAAAAATCTGACTTAGTTTTAACTAGTGTGTGTGATTGACTTTCCTTGGGCAGGGCCTGGGGGAAAGCCAAACTGAATTGAAAAGGATGGCTCAGCGCTGAGGCACCATTGCTTTCGCTTCATACCCTCGTTTAGGCAAGCTGCTGCTTCCTGGAGCAGGAAATTCCCACCCTCCATGTCTGTCTTGGTCTATCCACATCACAGAGCGTCTTCCCACCAATCCCAACCCCCAACCCCCACCCCCAGGAGGTCAGAGGGGAAGACCCCCTGAGAAGAGGAGGGTCCCAGACCAGCTTCCCCAGTCCCAGGTTAGAGGCATTTAGTCATCTCGCCACCTACAAGGCGCCTCCCACAGCGGCCGCCAGGGGGCAGCAGCCACTCGCTCAGTGGGAGCCTGTAAATGAGCTTCCCAAAAGAGGTTCCACTCCCCACCGCCGTCCCCTCCCGCTGCTGTCGTGCCTCGGTCCCTGACCTGCTCCCTGGGCCCAGCCTGCGGACTCCCTGGACCCTTCTGACGGCCTTAAGCGCTCCCCAGTCGGCCGGCTGTGGTGCCGCGCACCGGCTCCCCAAATGCCGCCTCCTTGCCGCGGGGGTCCACAGCAGCCCCAGACGCTGCCCCGGGAGCGGGAGCCCGGCCTCTCTGCTGCCGGCGCCTAATTCCCCACCTCGCCACGCGCTCTCCTTTCGACCCGCGGCGGGGGACGTACGGGGACGCTCGGCGCTCCCGGCTGCACCCTCCCCGCCAGCCCTTCGGAGACGGCCTGGCGCCGGGGCCTGGACGTCCTCCCGCCCGAGTGCCCCGCCGGGCGCTGCGGGCACGGCCCGGGAGGGGCGCCGCATCTGTATGCGCCCGGCGGCCAGGCAGCGCCGCCCCCGCCCCCGCCGCGCGGGCCCGGGCTGGCCGGGGAGGGTCGGAGGCTGGGCTCTCTCCCGCGCGCCGCGGAGCCGCCTTGCTCCTCCGCAGGCGGAGCCTCCTTCCCCCGCCCCCTCCGTCTCGCTCCCTTGTTCTCGCAGGGGCCGCTCAGACCTGCAGCGGAGCCGCGGCGCCCGCTCGGATCGGCTCGGGGCTGCGCCCCTGGGACCCCGCGAAGGGGGCTGGCGGGGACGCTCCCCGCCGGCCTGGGCCCCTCGGCACTGTCAGGTAAGGGCGCCTGTCCCGGAGCCCGGGATCGGGAACCCACGGAGGGGCAGCAGGGGGCCCGCAGCCTGCGGGTGTCTTAAGAGCGGTGCGCTCCGCGGCTGGGAGCCCACTGCCGGTTCCCTTCTCCCGCGCTCTACCTCTTTCCCTTCTTCTCCCACACCTCTCTCCCTCTTTTCCCCATTTTCCTCTTCCTCGGTTTCTCTTCACCCTCCTTCTCTCTGCCTGTTTGCCTCCTCTGCCCCTTCCCTCTCCTTCTTGCTCTTTCTTCACACCCTCTTCCTCTTTGCCGTTTCCTTCCCCTGCCTTTCCTTTCCTTTCCTGTCTTTCTCTTTGCCTTTTCCCGCTCTCCTTTCCTTCCCCTATCCCTTCCCCTGTCGCCTCCTCTTTCCTTGCCTCTATCCTGTTTCCCACTCCTCCAGCCCTTTCCTCTCCTCGTCCCGCCTCCGGCTCGGTCCCCGGCTTCCCTCTTCCCCCCGGGAGGGAAAGGACTGGCAGGTGTGTGTCTGCTCTGGGGGAGGAGGGGCAGCAGCCACAGCTACCTGAGGGCTACCCCCCCACCCCAGGAGGAGAGGGAGGAGACAGCAGTGGGAAGGGTCCTCTCTCTGGCTCCATTCCTGAAGCCCCTCCTGGCTGCACCCCCCCCCCGCCCCGTCTCAGATCGAAGTTCCAGAGGCCTGCTCTGACCCCCTGCTGCTGAGGGCTGCCCCCCACCTGCCCATCACTTGCAGAAAACCCCTCTGCCACCCACCCTCACCATTCCCAAACCTGTTACCTATGACTCCTCTCTGCCTGTCAGACACCCAGGCTGCCTCCTTTGATCTCTCTCCTTGTCTCTTGCTGCCATTCTGTCTCGGTCTGTGCCGGACAGTGCCTGAGTCTGGGTCTCACCATCACTAACACTGAGTCTGTAGTCTCTGCTCTCCTCTCTCAGCATCCTGGCCCTGCCCCCAGCTCTACACCCTCTTCTTTTGGCTCTGGGGCCCCCCCACTCTGCCTCAGGAGCCCAGTCCCCCTTCAAGGACTTCAGCTGGCAGTGTGGGCTGGGGGCAGGTTCGGGAGAGGTGGGGTTCCCGGTGGAGGAGGGACTTTCACAGGCTCTCAACCCTGTCTAAGGCTGCACACCTTCTCCTAGCTCAGCCTGACCCCAGACACCCTGAGACCACACCTCCGTGAGTCCCAGCCCCTGGATTTTAAGCCCTTTCCCTGGTAGTCCCCAATGCCTCCAGCCCCTGGGGTGCATGGCCAACCTGGAATAACAGGGGCCAGATCTGGGGTTCCAAACCTACCCCGAATCTCCCCTCCTGTTTTCTTCCCTCGCTTCTCTACTCAGAGTTGACTGGTCAGAGATTTATCAGCTTGTAGGGCTGGAGGTGAACACAGGCAGAGCCTGGGTGGAGGGAAGGATCAGACTGTCTGCTCTGTCTCAGTCTGGGTTCTGGGCAGTGGGGTGTCTGGTTCCTTGGAGGTCTGATCTTCAGCCTCTAACTTTGGCTGGGGGACGGGGAGAGTTAAGGGTTTCCTTGACCCTGAACAGCTACCTGCCCTACAGGTGTGGATCCATGGGGTAGCCCCAACGCGTCTGCCCTTCTGGCCCGGCCGGCTCATGCCTCAGTACCTGGGGACAGTGACCAGAGCCCTGGCTGGAGCCCAAACATGTGGGGCCTGGTGAGGCTCCTGCTGGCCTGGCTAGGTGGCTGGGGCTGCATGGGGCGCCTGGCAGCACCAGCCCGGGCCTGGGCAGGGTCCCGGGGGGCCTCAGGACCAGTGCTGCTGCGGAACCGAAGGAGCTGGGTGTGGAACCAGTTCTTTGTCATTGAGGAATATGCAGGTCCAGAGCCTGTCCTTATTGGTAAGGTAAGGACCAGCCCTCCCCAGGTCTGCCCTGACTCTCGAGGCCCTTAGGCCCAACCCTGCAACTTCATCACTTCTTCAATGACCTTGGTCCCTCAGGATTCCCAACACTCCACCCAGTCATAAACCTAGACTCTTTAACCTTTCTGTCCCCATGCTTGGAACCTGCTGCCGTTTTTCCCTGACCCCTACAGCTGCACTCGGATGTGGACAGGGGCGAGGGCCGCACCAAGTACCTGCTGACCGGGGAGGGGGCAGGCACTGTATTTGTGATTGATGAGGCCACAGGCAATATCCATGTCACCAAGAGCCTGGACCGGGAGGAGAAGGCACAGTACGTGCTCCTGGCCCAAGCTGTGGACCGAGCCTCCAACCGGCCTCTGGAGCCCCCGTCAGAGTTTATCATCAAGGTGCAAGACATTAATGACAACCCACCTATCTTTCCCCTTGGGCCCTACCACGCCACGGTGCCTGAGATGTCCAATGTCGGTGAGTACCCCAACTCTGACCATCCCAGATCCCGTCTCCTGGAGCACCCTCACCTCTCCTTCCCACGTTGCTCTCGTGTCTGGGTCCCCCTCATTTGCTGTTCTTTCCCACCTGGCCCTGCCCCTGCTGAGTGGGGTGCCGGGATCCCCCACAGGGACATCAGTGATCCAGGTGACTGCTCACGATGCCGATGACCCCAGCTACGGGAACAGCGCCAAGCTTGTGTACACCGTGCTGGATGGACTGCCTTTCTTCTCTGTGGACCCCCAGACTGGTGAGGCTAGAGCTCGGAGCCTGGTAGGGCAGCCATGCAAACAGGCACCCCCTGACCCGTCGTCTCTCCCTAGGAGTGGTACGGACAGCCATCCCCAACATGGACCGGGAGACGCAGGAGGAGTTCTTGGTGGTGATTCAGGCCAAGGACATGGGCGGCCACATGGGGGGGCTGTCGGGCAGCACGACGGTGACGGTCACCCTCAGCGATGTCAACGACAACCCCCCCAAGTTCCCTCAGAGTAAGGGGCCAGTGCTGTTCCCAGAGCCGTACTTTGCCTGCCCCCACCCCCTACAGCCTCCAGAGAAGCTTTCCCTCCCCACCCTCCCCCAGCCAGACCCCAAGAGAAGGAAGTGCTGGGAGAAGGAGGAGGGCTGGGGACCTAAGATGTCTCCCCTCCGTCCCCACTCAAGGCCTATACCAGTTCTCTGTGGTGGAGACGGCTGGGCCAGGCACCCTGGTGGGCCGGTTGCGGGCCCAGGACCCAGATCTGGGGGACAACGCCCTCATGGCCTACAGCATCCTGGATGGAGAGGGGTCTGAAGCCTTCAGCATCAGCACGGACTCCCAGGGTCGAGACGGGCTCCTCACTATCCGCAAGGTTAGCCTCCTGTCTGCTAACACTTGCTCATACTGCCTCTTGCCCCATGAGGCTCCCTTCTAACTGGTCTGGAACAGACTTGGGACCACTGCATTGAGCTTAGAGAACATGGTTATCTCGTCCTCTTTCAGATGAGGGACTGGGGCGAGCAGTGGGAAAGCCTGACTCAGGGCTATTCATGTAGCCCATCTATGATGGAGCTGGGGGCAGACCTAGGGTCCCAGGCTAAGTAATCTGCCTCACCCTGACCACCATGGCCATTGCCCCTCGGTGCCTACATCTCCTCTCAGGAGGGCAGAGCACTGGAAGCTGGGGAGGGGACCTTTCAACTTCCAGGAGCTGGGGCCTGCCCTGGTCTCCACGTGCCTCAGTCACTCCACCTCCTCTCCCCATAGCCCCTGGACTTCGAGACCCGGCGCTCTTATTCCTTCCGCGTGGAGGCCACCAACACCCTCATTGATCCAGCCTACCTGAGGCGAGGGCCCTTCAAGGACGTGGCCTCCGTGCGCGTGGCTGTGCAGGACGCCCCAGAGCCACCTGCCTTCTCCCAGGCTGCCTATCACCTGGCCGTGCCTGAGAACAAAGCTCCTGGGACGCTGGTGGGCCAGGTCTCAGCAGCGGACCTGGATTCCCCAGCCAGCCCAATCAGGTGAGCTGGGGCGGGGCAGGGGAAGGGCCGAGCCTCAGGAGAGGAGCCCAGTGGCAGGCTATTCCCACCGAGGCTGGGCACCTCCTGGCAGAGGTCTCCCTCCCTGCAGGGCTGAGGGTGTGGGAAGGCCTGGAGGACCCTGCTAGCTCCGCCCACCCAGCTCCACCCATCCCTCTGGGAGGATAGCAGTGGCGTCTCCCAGTGGCGGTGCAAGCAGATGCAAGGTCATCTGATGTGCGCTCTTGCTGGACGACTGGCTACCACAACCATTCACTCCCGTGGCTGCACACTTTACCCACTTGGGAACATTCAGTTCTCACAACGGGCCTGTGAAGTAGGCACGGTCGTCCCCAGTCGTTTTAGAGGCCAGACCCAGACAGCTTAAGTTCCTTGCCCAAGGTCACACAATCAAGAAGCGGCAGAGCTGGAACTCCAATCCAGATTTGTCTGCCTTGAGAAGAGCCGCTCTTCCCACCTTTCAGCATCCCGGCCACAGAAATGAGGGAGGTGCTGGTGTCACTCCCATCTTGGTTGAGTAAACAGAAGTTAAATGATTCACCCAAGGTCACACAGCTAGTCTGAGGCAGAGCAAGCCTGGGGTCTCTGGATCCCTAGAATAGAGCCCAAAAGTCAGAAAGACAGGCTGTTTACCCCCTTCCACCTCTTTCAGTCTCTCCCCCACCAGGAAACCCAGTCCCCCCGAGTCTTAGGACCGGTGTTTAATGTCCATAACTTCCCCAAGCCATTTGTCTTTTAAGGGGACCCTAATATGAATCATGGCTCTGGGTACCCTGGGCATACTCAGCCTGGTGAGCTCAGGCCTTCTGCCCGGAAGAGCCAAGAGGCCCAGCAAGACGAACAGAAGGGAGGGAGGCCTAGCAGCAAGCTCCAGCGCTGCCCACAGATCAGCCTCCAGCTCCGCTCCATCTTCCCCAGATACTCCATCCTCCCCCACTCGGATCCAGAGCGCTGCTTCTCCATCGAGCCTGAAGACGGCACCATCCGCACGGTGGTGCCTCTGGACCGTGAGGCTCGAGTCTGGCACAACCTCACGGTCTTGGCTACGGAGCTCGGTGAGGAGTCCCGGACCTCCAGGAGACGGGGGAGGCTGCAGGCGCCTGGCAGAGGAGCTGTCCCTGAGTGGGGAAGGGGGAGGCAGTCACTGCCACCAGACCTCACCAGTGTGCAGGGCTGCCTTCCCAGCCTGGATCACCACCGCCTGGCAGGCTTCCTGGTCTCTGAGGCTGGGCTGGCCTGGGCACAATGCATCTGTCTGTATATTGCCCTGACTTTAAATTCGCTCCCGTACCTGACTTTCCCCAACTGGGAAACCTCAAATTACTCTTGAGTCCTGGGAAACCCCAATCTGCACCCTGGCAGACCCTGCCATCCCTGCTGTCTGCTTCAGGCTGAAGCCAGGGTGGAGCTGGGCCCCTCCTCTGGAGACTGACTGGGAGGGTTCCAGCAGCCCCTCCCCGGGATGCCCTGCAGAGAGCCCTCAAGTCAGGGGAGAGGGCCAGCTCCTGCCCCTGTCAGCCACCAGTTGCCAGCAGCATGCTTTGGCTGCCTCTGGGCTGCCATGGCCTGTGGAGGCAGGGACACCTCCCTTCCCTGTGGGAACCTCCCCTTATCACTCCTGCTCACACCCCAGGGCCTCCTGCATTTGCCTTCTGTGTCCTGTCTCTGGGAACTGTCATTGTGCGCATGAGATGTTTGCACAGGGCAGCGAAGAGCTCTATGTATGTGCACATGTGAGTGCATACCTACGTGTGTATAATTCCATGTGTGTAACAGTTCATACATACCCACACGTATTTGTGTGTGTAGTTGAGCAGATAGAATGTTTGTGCGAATGTGTGATTAGAGGTATATAAGCATCAGTACAGGTGGCTGTAGGTATCGTTTTATGTATGTGAGTGTTCGTGGACAAAGAATTTATGACTTATTGTGTACCAAGTACTGTTCTACTGTGTACACATTAGTACCAAACGTGGATCGCTTAATGTAATCACCACCACAGCTTTAGGAGGGAGGTACGATTACTTCCCCACTCGAAAATAAGGAGACTCGGACAAAGAGAAGTTAAGTAGCTGCCCAAGGTCATGCTGCTGTGAAGGGGCAGAGCCCGAGACCCTATGAGGCTGTGGAGTCAGAGCACTTATCCCTGCCACCATGTTACCTCTTATGTGTAGAAGGTCATGTTTCTGGCCCCGTCGCTGTGTGTTACGTGGCGTTGCATGCATGTCTGTCCATGTGAATGTCCCTGTGTGTATGCAGTGTTTAGAGTTGCCTGTTTATACATTGCTAGCTGTGTGTGTGTGTGTGTGTGTGTGTGTGTTTCCCACTCTGTCTTCTCACCCTCCCACCAAATCCTGCTCTCCAGCAAACCCTAAGATCAACTAGCAGGCCTAGGACCCTTATTGCAGAGAAGGAATGGAGCCCGGAACCCTTAGCCAGAGAGCCCACGCAAGCCTCCCTTGCACAGGCTGGGACCTTGGCCCTCTCCCCAGGGCCAGCCAGCTCTCTCCCCACCTGGGAGAGGACTAAAGAGTCTGGGAGGCTCAGCCAGGAGAAGTGAGCAGCAGCCTGGGCAGGGATACCCATCTTCCATTCTTCCTTGGATAGCACTGGCAGTGAGGAGCAAGTCAGGGTGATGACGGGGAACAACCTGATGAAGGGTCGCATGAAGAAGGGGGCCTGTGTCTGGCTGTGGCCCAGGCTGGCCTGGCTCCCCAAGGCCAAGTCTAAGTGCTACTCATGGCTATACCGTAGCCTTCCTACTGTTGATGGGGCATGTGTGTTTGTGTGTGTGTGTCTGTCTGTCTGTCTCGTGGGTGCTATGTATGAAAATGCATACTCTCGATCCTGGGTCAGGGTGACACAGAATGCATGGTGTATATCCAACACCCACTCCATGCATGTTGTATTTGTTGTAAATGCTGAGTGTACATCGAATATGTGGTATGAATGCGTTTGTTTCATGACTGTGGCCTGCATGCATCCTGTATGCACCTTCTGTCCACCTTTCATTTACGGCACACGTATGCCTGTCCCGGGTGCTCCGCCCCCCCCCATGGAATGTACCTTCCGCACTGCACTTATCTTGGCTCCCACCTGAATGTTGTTGTATACTCTTGGTGTTGTTCCTTTCGTCTCACACCATTTGCCCTGTGTGTGCCCACGTGACGCGTGTATATGCTGGGTGCTACATGGGGCATCCGTGCCCACACACCGTGCATGTTGTGTGTAAACTACTGTGTGTGTCATGTTCTGGCTTCAGACAGCTCCGCACAGGCCTCCCGCGTGCAAGTGGCCATCCAGATCCTGGATGAGAACGACAACGCCCCCCAGCTGGCTGAGCCCTATGACACCTTTGTGTGTGATTCGGCAGTCCCTGGCCAGGTGAGCCGCTGCGGCAGAGGGCTCGGGACCTTAAGACCTCCCAGTGCCCACTCCATACAAGGCCTGTCTTCTTCCTCCCAGTTGATTCAGGTCATCCGGGCCCTGGACAGAGATGAGGTGGGCAACAGTAGCCGTGTCTCCCTTCAAGGTCCTCTGGGCCCCGATGCCAACTTCACTGTCCGTGACAACCGAGGTGGGTGGCCTCCCTGCTCTCCTGCTCCCCTACCATCCCCTAGCCTGGCCTGCCTCACTGCCGCCCCCCACATCTGGGCCCTCCACCTGACAGAAGGTAGATGTGGATGTGCACACATTTGCTCTTTGCCAACCCTCCCCATGGGAAGCTGTCTCCCTGGGCCGTGCCCACCCTACTGGGACCATGTCTCAGGAAGGGGCCCCACACCTTTCCTCTCCCACAGATGGCTCCGCCAGCCTGCTGCTGCCCTCTCGCCCTGCTCCGCCCCGCCAGGCACCCTATGTGGTTCCCATAGAACTGTGGGACTGGGGGCAGCCAGCCTTGAGCAGCACCGCCACAGTGACTGTCAGCGTGTGCCGCTGCCGGCCCGATGGCTCGGTGGCTTCCTGCCGGCCCGAGGCTCAGCTCTCACCGGCTGGTCTCAGCACTGGGGCCCTGCTTGCCATCGTCACCTGTGTGGGCACCCTGCTTGGTGAGTCGGGCCACCTCGGAACATCGATGTGGGGTCTGAGCCTGCAGGGGGTCGAGAGAGGGGCCAGGTCCCTGGATCTGGGGAAATCCTCCCCTGGGGAATGAAGGAAGCCCCATGCCCAGATTTTCCCACTCCCTTGTGTATCCAAGAAAAGAGCTCTGGCCTCACGTCCCTGACATTACCAACCCACAATGCTAGCCAGAAGCCTTAAAAAACGTTTATTGAAGCCTGACTGGGCGGCATGTGGTGCCCGGCACATCACTTGTGCTAGTTCGGATTCATCCTTTCAACAGCCCTAAGGGGGAAATTCATTTTCCCTGTTATCTACACAAGCCCTCTAAGGGTCAAAGAGGTTCAGAGAAGTGAAGCAACTTCCCACAGTCACCCGACGAGTGCAGGGTGAAGTCAGGCCCCAGACGAGGATTGCCAGGTGTCAAACTCAGGTCTTGCCACCCCGGGCCACACTGTCTCCTCTGTCTCCCAACCTGCGCGCGGTCCGGAAAGGAAGCAGGCCACCGTGCTCCCAGGGACCCCGCAGACTCAGTGGGCCTGTGTGCGCCTCTCTCCCAGCCCTGGTGGTGCTCTTCGTGGCCCTGCGGCGGCAGAAGCAGGAAGCACTGATGGTGCTGGAGGAGGAGGACGTCCGTGAGAACATCATCACTTACGACGACGAGGGTGGCGGCGAAGAGGACACGGAGGCCTTCGACATCAGCGCCCTGCAGAACCCTGACGGGGCGGCCCCGCCGAACCCCGGGCCACCAGCGCGCCGCGACGTCCTGCCCCGGGCCCGGGCACCCCGCCAGCCCCGGCCCCCCGGGCCCGCCGACGTGGCGCAGCTCCTGGCGCTGCGGCTCCGTGAGGCGGACGACGACCCCAGTGTGCCGCCCTACGACTCCGTGCAGGTGTATGGCTACGAGGGCCGTGGCTCCTCCTGCGGCTCTCTCAGCTCCCTGGGCTCCGGCAGCGAGGCGGGGGGCGCCCTTGGCCCCGCCGAGCCGCTGGACGACTGGGGGCCGCTCTTCCGCACCCTGGCTGAGCTGTACGGGGCCAAGGAGCCCCCGGCCCCCTGAGAGAAGGCCCCAGCCCTGCCCGCTGCGGTGGGGCACCCCTCACAGGCCCTCTGAGTGAGCCCCCACCCCTTGGGCTCCAGGCAGGCGGCAGCAGCCTGGGGGCGAGCCCCCCAGGCCTCCTCTCCTCCCAGTGTCCCTCTTCCCAGCTTCCCCAGGGCAACCTCCTTCTTACTTCCCTTCTCCCAAGTCGTTAGTTTGTCTCCCTCCAGGGATCTCTGTCTCTTTCTGTAACACTCTCCTGTCTGGGTCTGGATTGTGTGGTTCGATTCTGAATCTCTCTGTTCCTTCACTGTGATTCCACTCTCTCCGTGACTCTGTTTTTGTCTGCCCAATTCTAAATCTCTCCCACACCCTCTCTCTGTCTCCCTTGCCCACACACATGCTCTGTGTCTGTCTCCTGCCCACATCTGCCTGCATTCTCTCCGGTCCCTGTGACTGGCTTTTCAGTTATTTCTGTTGTCCATCCCAAAAAGCAAGAGAAACTTCCAGCCACTGCTGCCCACCCTCCTGCAGGGGGATGTTTGGTCCCAGGTCAGTGCCCCTAATTAAGGGAGAGGAGGGAGCAGAGGGATGGCCTGAAGCCCTCCTCCACTCACTGCCTAGAACCCCTGGCTCTCGTGTCTTTACAGACCTGCCCGCATGGTTCCATCCATCACTCATGGCCTCATCCTGGCTCCACTGGCCTCCAGCAGAGAGAGGGTGCCAGCCCACCTCCCAGGGCAAGAGCTCCAGCCCCCCACATGGCCGCCTCCCTGGAGCTCTGCGCAGCTATTGGCCTGCCCTGGGCATCCCAGCTCTGGGCATTGTCTTGTGTGCTTCCCAGGCCCCAGGGGGAGGGAAGGGGAAGGAAAGGAAAGAGGGAGGCAGCTGGGGAAGGGGAAAAAGGGAGGAAGGGGAGGGGCCTCCATCTCTAATTTCATAATAAACAAACACTTTATTTTCTAAAGCTGGAGCCCTGTTTCCAGTTCTGCATGTGGGTTTCTGTGCAGAGCTTCTCTGTGCCAAAGGGTGGGAAGGAGAGGCCTGACCCAACCCTGCTGGTTCCTTTCTTCTTTGTGGGGCAGTTCACTCCTTTCTTTTTTGGGAGGGCAGTCCACTCAAGTCCCTCTAGCCTGAGGAGGGAGTAAGTACCCCCACTGTGACTCTCCTGTTCCTTGCTGGTCTCAAAATGTCCAAGGGAATTAAGGGGATTGGCTAGAGGGGAGGGTGGCAAGGAGAAGTTGGGGTGAGAGCTCCTGAGAAGAGAGGGGGAGAGATAAAAGACTAAGAGAAGAAGCTGGCTTTTAGACTAAGAAAGCCTTCCTCTCCGTGCCAGGTGGGAGAGGGTGGGCCAGGCTGAGATGGCATAGTCACTCTGATTCTGGGCCCAGTGACCCCACCTTTAATTCTCTCCAGTCCTGGTCTTACTCTCCAGGGAACACATAGGGAGAGGGAGAGGGACCAGGAGTGAGCTATCAGGGGGCCCAGCAGTCGAATCAAAGTCAACTGGGATGCGCGAGCTGAGCAGAGGCCATTGTTTCTCCGTGTGCACTCCCTGAGCAGAGAAGGGAGGTCCCAATTCCAGGCAGGGCTCCTGGAGGTGCACAGTGATGATGGGTCCAGACAGAGCCTCCTGGTCCTCCCCTCCAAGTGTGGGGTGCTGGCCATGGGGGGAACTGTTCCAATGGGAAGATGCCATCTCTCACACCTTCATGCCTGCTTGATTAGGGTAACCAGGTGCCAGGAGAACAAGACCCATGCCCCGGGGCTGGACTTGTCCTTTACTCTGTGAAGGGAACTGGAACTGGAGCCCTAACTGGCCAAAGACCCAAGCAAGAGCAGGCTGGCTGTCCCCCAAAGGAGATGATTAGGAGCCAACACCCCAAGTGTGATGTCAGGGACAGGGTTTTTTGTTTGGGGGCAGGATGGGCAAGCTCTCTGCCCCTTTGCTTTCACCCCAACATCTGCAACCAGCCTTCAGGAATAAGTGAAGAGCAGTGAGGGACTGACCCATGGGCCATTCCTAGGTGGGATGCAGCCTTTCCCTGCTCTCCCAGCCCTCCCTCCCCGCATCCTGAGGTCAGGCCCCAACTCTGACTTGGTAAACTTGGAGGGAAACACAGGACATAGGGAAACAGGCCTGTCAGCAAGACCCCTGGTCTTATCTCTGGTCTCAAATACCTCATCATCCTGAAAGACAGAACCTATCAAAGGGAATAAAGAGGGGCAGGACTGTGGAAGGAAAGGAGAAGGGTGAGAAGGGGCTAGGTGACAGGAGAAATAGGGTCTCCCTTCCGTTTTCCCCTATATGTGTGTTCAGTCCTCCTTCCCCTGTTTGTGGGGAGGGAAAGGGCACAGAGCATCCCAGGGAGTGAGCTGCAGGCAGTTTCTGAGCCTAAGACCATGCTCAGGCAACAACCCTGGGCTGCAAGCTCCCCACCACACACACACATACCCACTGTTTCTCCTTGCTGAGGCTTCAGGATAGGGGTGTGACAATGCAGAAGTGGGGAACTAATACGATGAGCTCTGCCCCCACTTCCTCTCCGTGTTGGACCATTTTTCCAAAATAAGTGACAAGGCCTGGCTTTCTCTCCCAAGATGGGCTGCACTCTTATCCAGGTGTCAACTCTTTCTCTTCCAGTCTCTTCCCTGTCTCTGTACACAGGAACTGCCGCACATCCTCTAGCACACTCATGTGCACACACCTCTACTGGGCCCCTCACACCAGGACACAGATCCACGTACATCTCTGCACTTGGAGATGCACCCTCTTAATGCCTGAGTCCATCACGTCCTTGAACCCTGGGCAAAAGCTTTCCTCCTGTGCTCCTCCAGGACTAGGCTGGCCCCAGGGGGGTCCCTGAGCTCTGCCTATCATTCCCAGAGCTCTGCACCTTCTTCCCAGAGACTGAAGAATGGACAGGGGGGTTGCTGTTGGTTGCTGTTGACAGGGTTGCTGTTGAGGACAGGGGGGTTGCTGTTGGTTGCTGTTGACAGGGTTGCTGTTGAGGCCACCAATGAGATTCCTGGACCCTGACTCTCAAATGCTGGCACTTTTCTGCTGCTCCTCCTCCCCCACCACAATTTCCTCCCTCAGCCTCCACTGCCTCCTCGGCTTTCCTTCCTGAGACTCCCTGGCCTTTCCTCCCTCCTCCCTAATCATGCCCCGAAGGCCAGAGCCTGGGGGTCTCTTAGTCAGGCCAGCTCCAGCCTGGAGGAATTCTAAGCAGGAAGTCCAGTGTTGGGGCTTGGGGCTCAGAGCTGGGCGGAAGGCTGAGAGGAGGTTTCCAGGAGAGAGGAAAGAGGGCTGTGAATCTCGGGCCTGGAAGCTCTGCAGGAGCGGGATGAGAGAAAGAGTTCAGCAACATTCCCTCCATTCAGTCCTGTCTCTTGGTTGACTGTGCTTCCTGACCACTCCCCTTCAAGTTTGCCTGGGGAGAAGCAGGGCGGGGAAGGTGGGCCCCCTGGAACTGGCAGCCAGCCTTGCCAAGTCAGGGCTTATACGGGAGCTGGAGGAGGGGCAGGAAGGGCGCGAGAGGATGTGCTAGCCCAACAGTTCCCACTGGCACAGCCACCTCCCTCTTTTCTTCCTTCCCCAGAGGAAGTGACAGGAAGGAAAGGCTGGAAAGAAGGCAAAGGGAAGAAAGGAGGAAGGGGAAAGAGGGAAAGAAGTCTGGCCTCAGCAGTGACAGGGTCTGAAGACCAGAGCTCCGGGTAGGCGATGACCATGGCTCCAGGTCCTGGGGCAGGCGGGTGGCCACCCTCCAGGCCCTCGGGCTCCTCTGCCCACCAGGCAGGGGTTTGGCCCAGCTCCTCCTGCCCAACCTCAGTCCCAGATGCCTGAAGGGCCTAGGGCAGAAAGATGAGGCAAGAAAGAGGACCTGGGAGGACAGAACTGTGTTGAAGGAGCAGAACTCTGGAGTGAAGGCCTGGAAGGCGGGGTCCCACCCTCATCTCTGCCACTTACTGTGTGACCCCGGCAAGTCACATAACCCTTTGAAGCTGTTTCCTCTTCCGCAAAGTGAAGATAATTTTTACCTCAGAGTTATCATGAGAAGGGCATTCAGAATGAATAGTGATTGTTGTCCTTAGAGTCCCTCCGGGGCAGGGGGAGAAGCCCCCCACATAAGGTCTGTGCTGCCCTGCCCCCCCCAACCTGGGTGCTCTGGGCCACTCGCCCCACCTTACTCCACCCCCAGTTACCCCCCTCACCAAGGTGACAAATTGACAAAGACTTTGAAGCTGAGATACAGAAATGGGAGGCAAAGAGAGCAGGGATCAGGTGGGGAAAGGCGGCAAAGAAGGTGGTGAGAAAGAGGGTCTGGCACCTAGCCCCGCGTCTAGCGTGCAGCAGGCACACAGAGATTATTTGTGGAGAACTTGAGCGTGGAAAGGAGGCTGGACCAATCCACTGGGCATCCAGAGGAACATGTTGGACAGAGCCACCCACAGTGCTGGGAGGCAGAAAGGGATGGAGATCTAGAACAAATGGAGCTGGGGACCCCTGTGGGCTGGAGCCAGATGCTGTGAGTCTCCTCTCCCCACCCCCACGCCTATCCTCCCACCCACTCCCTTGGCCAAGGTCCCCCCAAGTCCTACTGCTTCTCATAGCATCTCAGTCTCTGCGGCCATCCTGGAGTCTCTGTGCAGGGTGGCAGGCTCAGCCTGGTCCTGGCTGGCCTCCTCCTCCTCCTCCTCTTCCTTCTCTGGCTCCGGAAGCTTCTGCAGTTCCCAGTACAGCACACAGGCATCGCTGCGCGACACATACTCCCATCCGCTTTCCCGCACATGGAAAAGGTCTACAGAGCCCCCTGAGTAGGCATCGCGGTGGGTGGCGTGGGTCACGGCGCGGCGAGCCAGGGCATAGGCTTCCTGGGGGCTCATGTCGTAGCGGTAGCCGCGGTCGAGCACGCCATAGGCATAGGGAGATCCAGAGCCCACCGAGAAGATGTTCCCCTGCAGGCGGGTGCCGTCACTGTCCACATAGAAGAGGGCAGGGCCCGAGCGGTCCCAGCCACACAGCGCGGTGGCCACGCACAGATCCAGCCCCCGGTAACAGGACATCAGGGTCGACAGGAGTCTGGCGGCCCCCGCCACGCTGGGCAGCTGCCCCTCCCTCAGGGCGCGCAGCCGCAGTTCCCGCCGCAACACGCGGTACCACGTGGCACAGTCTGCCGACGTGCCGGACGTGGTGCCCAGCAGGTGCGGGTGCACCGGGAGGATCTTGCGCGAGGCCGGGCACTGCACGTAGCTGCCACAGGACGCCCGGGTGTCCGCAGCGGCGATGACTCCGTGCTGGAAGCGGAAGGCCAAGGTGGTGGTGCCGTGGGCCAGCCTGGGGCCATGCGTACGCAGGAAGGTTTGAGGGTCACAACCTGGGGGCACGGCGCAGCCGCCGGCCTGAGGCAGGTGAGGCGACAGTCCGCAGGTGTCCGGGGCCTGCCACTTGCACACATCCTGCAGAGCCATCCCTGGGACTGAGTGATGGCTGGAAGGAGCAAGGCAGGGATTTGTGGGCTGGAGTCGGGGAGGGGACGGACGCTGTGGAGACGCTGGGCTATAGCCAGAACGGCACAGAGGGGCAGGTGATCTATGGCTTCACTTCTCCCTACGCCCAAGTCCAGCTCTGGGACTGTCCTGAGCAGCGGTCTCCTCTTGCTCAGAGGATGGCTGAGGAGAGACAGGAGGAGGCCAGGGAAGTCTGCACTGCTGGGAAGACGCTGCTGGTGACACACCTGAGCGTCACCCAAGGAGTCTCCCATCCATCATCCTCCCAGCACCTGAAGTGGGGCGGGCAGTGGGTTGACTTCAGAGGAAAGGAGGCATGAGTGGAAGGAGCACTGCTGGGTCCCTCTTGTTTCTCCTGTGGGGGGCACTGGACATGCAAACACAGATGAGGCTCTGTCGCAGCCCCTGCAACAGCTCCCAGCTGTTGAGAGAGGGACACCTGGGTAACTCAGTCAGTTGAAT